TCTTTAATTAGGATCTGCGCACAACATGTTTTTAAATCTGTAGTCTCAGGGTAGGTATTTGCCTCCATTAGCAGAACCCTCCTTGGTGGTAAACAGTCAGTGTTGGTAAACATGATGCTGTTCCAGCAGTTTATCTTGCAGGGGGAGTGACTGGGCTTTGGCAGCCTGTGGCTCATTTCTTGGCCCCAGGCAGAGTGGAAAGCACAGTTGGGGGTGAAGCAGCTGCCTCTGAGCTTTGGGAAAGGTCAAGACTGGGAGAGCAGAACCCTGACAAACAACCATGCACTATATGCTACTGAAGCTTCTCTACTTGTATTTATAAGCCAGCATATCCATATGCCTCAATAATCCTATGCTCTCTGCCCTTTAAATATATTGTAGATCTGCCATTACATTTTTGCAGTGTTAACTATAACATTTATTTATAAAGCGAGGAGGTTTAACTTTTATTGAGATGTAAAGTGCAGAGTTAGTATAGCTACATTCTTTTTTTTTTTTTTTTTCCTTTTGGCTGAAACCTGAACTAAACTGCAGGAATGGAATTTGTTAATTTGTGAGCTGATGAGCGCTCTTAACTTTAAATAATAAAACAAAAAATGGCTGCTAGAATGCAAGTGCCTTGGACTTCTTGCTGGTAAGCCTTTATTTTCAGCTTGTTCCCTACGGATGGTACACTTGTGGGTACAGAAATACTGGGCGTTTACAATCAACAGGTGTGATTGTTTCATTTCATCTGAATTTACTCCTGGGAAAAGCTAATCTGTACTGCAGTTGCAAATGTTTCCCCTGAAAAGGGGTGACACTGACACTGAAGGGACATCTCTATATACTTTGCCTTATCTTTTGATGTAAATGAAGCAGTGTGAAATGATGCTCCTCTGTTGACTCAGATATTACCTGCCTTATATACTGTTGGGACTGTGGGCACAGCAAGCAGAAAGAGGGATGCAATGTGGTTATCGTCAATTTAGGTTTTCCAACCCCATATCTGTCAGTGGGAGGTCAAAAGCAGGCAGAGGAATTAAAGGTACTGGAGTTAGTTCCACACAAGAATTTGGATTTTCCAAAGTGCTCAGCCTTCTCCGGGGAGGGTGGGAGCAGATGGATAAAATATTTGAATGTTTGTCCCTTCATTGATTGCTCCATCCTCAAAAAGAATTCTTGATGGTTTGATCAATGTTGTGGACTTCGTGCTAGATAAGACATTTAAGCAGTGTCTGCAGTTCTGTGGGCCTTGCTTCTCCCGTTGAAGTGGTGTAGGTGATCTCCAGGCTCCAGGGGAGCAGCTGGCACCGCAGGTACCAGAGATGGGGTGGCCTCAGGGCTGAGGCAGCGGCTGATGGTTCCTGGCTGTGGTGCTCTGACTGCAATCCCATCCCGCACCCAGAGCTGCTGGGAGGAGGGAATTCCTCCACGGCTGGGATGGGGAAGCAACTCGGGAGCTGTGACCTTGTGATCAGATAGCTGGGGGATCCAGTCATGTACAGAAGTCTCAAGGAGGAGAACACTTTGTGTGATAGAAAAGGGCTTTAATTATTTTTCTTTTTTAACACATAAATAATCTGTAATTACATAGTAAGGACACAGCAGTTAAATGTTGACAGTAATTACTGGGTGGGAGAAATAACTGCATGAATTTAGGGATAATTACAATGAACACTTATTTATTGTAGGTGTGGTCCGGGCCAGCTGCAGTATGTGGGGCAAACAGGAGTTGTGGGGAGCAGTGAAATGTTTCAGTGATGATTTTGTTATCTGTGTAATTATCTTGGACAGAGAGTGGAGGGGTTTTTTTACTGGGGTGGCTACAGACCCACCTATAGCACAACTGTTCTCCAGGAGCCCTTCTGTACACTGCCACAAATGAAATGTCTGCCTTTTATTCCTTTCTTAAAACCTAAGGTATGCTTTTCTCTCCCTAATACTGGTAATTTGCCCTTTCAACAATAAAGCCTCCATACAGGTTTCTTTAGAAATGCAAAAGTGGTGAGAAATTCACTGGGGTTTTCCTGGAGCTGGTTGCTGGTGCCCTTCTGTGGACGACTTTGGAGCCTCCTAATGCTGTAAGATCAGTGCTTACAAAGAAAATGGCCTAGAGCATGAAGACAGGGATGCTGTGTCAGCATTTCCCAGATTCCCGGGGAAAGACTGAGAGCGGTCATGAACACACGTGCGTTCTGGTGAAAACAAGGCCCTTTTGGGAAAGGCAAAGCTCCCTTTCCAGGGTGAGCAGCAGCAAAGAAGGCCCTGAAAATGTGGGAAGGGTGAACCTGCTGCTGTGATTAAAACAGGGCTGTGGCTCAGGTGGAAGTTGCTCCCAATAACCTTTGAGAGTCTCGGCCCTCCACGCACAGTAAACTTAAAAAAAAAAAAAACCAACCCTGCAGTGTTTTACAGTCTGCTGTCGTGTCTTTCCCTCTCCCTGTCTCTGGTCCAAGCAAACATGATGTGACTATGTTAAGGTTGTTTACAAGCTAGAGCAGCTTCCAGTTGAGGAGTTTTGCATGATGTTTATTTATAGAAAGCAGGAGGGCTGGGGAAGAAGTGATGTATATGTTTTCTCCCAAGGGGAGGGGCTATCCTGGTGGCTGCACAACAACAACTGCAGTGTGACAGGAATTGCAGTAATAAAACACCTATTTGAACAAAGGTGACATAGATGAGATGAAATAGGGAAATAGAAGGAATCCAAGCACTTGGAGGGTTCCAGCAGATTCTATAAGTAGAGTAAATGAGTTAATCCATTGTCAATGAGTCCTTCGAAGTTAAAAGCCAAACTGTTTCAAAGCTGGAAGCCAACAACTGATGGCAGCTTTTAAATAGCAATGCTTTTATGTGGTTCTTGTTCTGTTTAGAACAGAGAGGGCTTTGATTTGCCCGAGTCTGGTGTCTTGTGCTGGTTCTCAGCCAAGGAGGTCCAGGAGGAGCTAAGCATCCTTGAGGTGGTAGGGAGGGAGGCAGAGACACCTATGGACAGATCCATGAGAAAGCACCTGTGGCCTCTTAAAAGGAAATTCTGTGGGATTTAAATACAAACCTCTGCCAGCCACTGCTCTGTTGCAGTTTAAGAGTAGGGATGCATTAGTTCTCAGCCCTTACATCTGGTGGTGCCCAGGAGCTCCAGAGCTTGCACTGAAGTTCGGTCAGTGCCCAGGCTTGCCAGAACCATCCTGCAGACATCCTCAGCCCCTCCTGAGGGGAAGAAGCTGCTCGAAAATAAAAAAGCAGCAGTTGCAGCTTTCAACACAGGGCGGGTGAAGGGGACTGTCCTTTATACTGTTACCTGCTATCCTCTGAGGAGCCAGGACTAAGGAGAGCATCACATTCTGTTCTCTGTGCTGGGGATTTGTGTCTCAGCAGTGAACTTTATGTATTTGGCTGCTGCTTGTTTGGGAGGGCGTGCTTTGTGCAGAATGAGCTTGAGGTAGGTTGAGCCAGAGAGGAACAGTGAGAATTGACAGGCTTCAGCCCAGTGAGAGGGGATTAATGTCAGTTGAATAGTCTAGACTAGATGTCTGTTTTATGCGGGTGTTGGTCGTAAGGCTTGGATGGTTCGTTGGCAAAGACTATAATCCAGAATTAGGCCCAGTGAGTGCCCCGTTTGGGTAGTTCCAGGTCCAGGATGGCCTGTTGGAGTCCTGCGCTTTGGCTGTCAGGCTGTGCTGGCTCCTCTCAATTTAAAACTTACTGGCACAGCTCGTCAGAGCGACGTGAGCGCGCACACATCTGCAGAAATACCCGAAACGGGGTCACCTCCCCCATATCAATCACATCGGCCCTCGAGGTCCACTTTAACGAGGACGTGGCAGCTCTGGGGCTCCCTCCTGGGCTGAGGCCTGGGGAGGCCCTGGCGCAGGGTGAGCTGACTTGGATGCTCTTGGCTGGGCTCGGTTCCACAGAGGGAGCGCTCCCTTTTCTCGTCATCTGGTGGCTTTGGGCTGACCTCTACTGACAGAGCAGGCAAACGGCTGCGGCCGAAGCCGTCGGAGGAAGAGCCTGGGGTCTGGGGCTTTGCTTCAGAAACCTTCCTTGTGTTAAAAGCCCAGTAGATACCTGCCTGGTATATCTCTCAGGTTCTACAGAATACCTTCCCCATTCCTGGCCTTTCTCCACCCTTTCTGTAATGCTCTGCTCAGTGCTTTTGTTTTTCCGTCAAACTTTTTCCTCAAAGGCAATAACATAAATAGGTGGAGTAATCTCAGTAGGGAACATTTCTCTGTGCAACAGCCAATCTAAGGTCCCACCTCTGACCTTTTACAAGCAGGTAAGGATGGAGAAGCAGACACTCAGTTTCTGCCTCCTCGGCCTTTTTCCACATTTCCCCCTTCTCATTCCCTCTTCATTAAGTAATTATTTTTTTCCCAAGCACAGCTTTACTGTAAAGATTCTTGCTTAGCCTTGTGTCTGGCGTATAATCTCAATTCTTTTAACAGAGTTTTCTTAAATACAAATATACTTTAAGCCATGCCTCCAGGGGCACATTGGAATTTTGTCTTTCACAGACAAAAAACTTCTCTCTCTGTAGTTTCAGAGGGGAACTGGGAAAAGTGATCTCTTGATGCTGCAGCCCAGAGGCCCACAGCCTCTCAGAAGTCTGTGAAGCTGGTTTCCTGAACCTCCCTGGGTCTGATGTAAGAGGCTTGGGGAAATGGTGCAGCTGGTGTGCTGCAGCAAGGGGAATGCACCATGCACACAAAGGAGGCATTGGCATGAAAGGCCGAGAGGATACACTGCAACCCCAAGCAAAGAGGACAGTTGGAAGAAAATAGTAGGACCTTGGGGTGCTTGGCACCTTAACAAGGGGCCACAGTAACCTCTCAAAGCATCCCCTGAGGATTTTCCCTCAAACGATTTGGTCATCAGCAGATTAGAAAATGGAACCCTGCTGTGCCATCTCTCAGCCCCCACCACCCTAGAGGTATAGACATGCAGAAAAGTTTTCCAGATATCCCTGACTGCCCCTTCGCTAATTCTACAGGCAAGAACCAGAGAAACACAAATAAATTAATTTAAATTTATTTATAAAACCTTCCATTAGCCTCAGAAAATTAGGAAAAGAGTTTTATCAGTTACTTGAAAATAAGCACAAGGAAGATAGTCTCAGGAGATTGCGACCTCTTTTGTCCAACAAAAAAGAAGGTAGTTTTCTCCTGTGCTCCAGGAAAGTGGCACCTTTTACCCACAGTGAAGTAAGAATAGTCCCAGTCCCAGCAGAATCACTATAATCTAGGGTTTGAAACTAAGTGTGAGTGTCTCTGGCCTTGGCTGACCTGCTGTGTCTCTCATCAAACATTCTGCCTGGTTTCTTCCTCGCTGTCCTGTGGACCTGGTGTGACAGTTTCTACCTGCATCATGTTGTGGTTCCCAATCTGAACCATTCGAGCATGTTGAATGATGAGGTGTGGGATTCCTCCTGGACCTGGCATCATGTTGTAGTGGCCTGATGGGAGATGAAGTGGCTGGAAAGGGGGGGAGCCCATCTGAGCAAACACGGGGTGACCAGCTGGGGGAGGCGGGTATGTGGCAGGAGGGACAGTGGAAGCCGGGGGGCACCACTGTCGGGGTGATTGCTCCAGCAGCTGTGGCTGTGTTGCTGATGGAGGCACCTGGGGAAGGGAGCCAAGGTTCAGGGCAGCCAAGTTCTGCAGTGTTTGATACCGTTCCTGATAGAGCTGTAGTTTCTTTCTCTGCATCAGGTCCCACATGACTTTCCTCTCATTGATCCTGCTGGTGTTAAAGGTGTTCTGCACTGTCCTGGAGAACCCAGGAGAGTTCTCATCCAAGGGCATCAGCCCACCGAGCGTGCTGGGAATCTGACTCCGCTCCAGGGGGTTCTCCTTGGGTACAAAAGGGATGACTGAGTCGCGCTTGGATGGTTTCAGGATGGACTCCATCAGAGCAGTGTTTGTCTGAAACATACACAGGTCGCATGGGAAGTTCTTGGTCAGCAGAAGGATGATGAAAGCAGAGTTTTCCATAGCATCCTGGAAGCAGGTCAGATGGCTGCGTCCAGCAATGAAGAAATCCTCACAGAGTGTGGCACCATTGGGAACCCCCATGTTCTCCAGCAGGTCCTTGACCCGATGGGCAACAGCCTCATCTTCACTAGCGTGTAGGACAACAAAAGTGAAGAACTTCCCACTATCTGGATCTGATGTGGGCGCTGGTTCTACAGTTTGGAGAGGAGGAGGCCAGGCTGAAGAGGGGGATGAATGTAGAGGAAGGGGATATGATAAGTTGGAAGCAGTAACCTGAGGAGGAAGGGTTGTGGAGCCAGAATAGGTAGGAGGAGGAAGGGAACAGGTTGAATTGGAAGCAGTAACCTGAGGAGGAAGGGTTGTGGAGCCAGAATAGGTAGGAGGAGGAAGGGAACAGGTTGAATTGGAAGCAGATGCAGAGTTAGAAGGAATGCCTGCTGGAACATAGGAGTCCTTCATGGACACGTGGGCAGGACCAGTATCCATGGTAGCTCTTGAGTCAGGAAGACCTGTGGGTAATTTCTTTTCACCTTGCATTTTGTCTGTGTTTTCTTTTGGTGCATGAGGTTCTGCTGCCACTGTGCTGGAAACATCACTACTTTCGATAGGTTGGTTCACAGCACCCGTTGTGGGCAGCTGCACTTCAGGAACAGGGAGAGCTGGACGACATGAACTGACCTGCAGAACCTTCTCTGGTCGGGGGACTTGGGCACCTGTGTCCTGCCCGGGATGAGAGTTGGGGCTGCTGGCCCAGCTTGTTTCCTGCAGGCCGTGGCTCTGTCTGTCCCTGTCAGGCTGTCCAGCACCACTGGTGCTCCCTCCGCACAGCCGGCTGGGCTGGGGGACACGCTCATGGGAAGAAGGCTGGGTGTGAAAAACAACTGTTGGCGATGCACTGATCTCAAAACAGCTGGGGAAGGAGGGACTCCCCAAGGAGCACAAGGTCCGTGGGCCCGAAAGGGTTGAGTTGCCTCCAATCTGCACTGGAGAACTTCTCACCAGGTAGCTTGGGTTGGCCATGCGGACAAATCCCACCCCCGCATCAGATCTCAGTGTCTGAAATTTGTCACCTGGGCCCATGCTGGTAGCAGAGCCGTGTTTTTCCTGGTCCTCAGGTGGGATGCTGTCGAGCGTGTCCCGCTGAGTCTCCCTGCTGGCGTTGCAGGCTTTGGTGTAAGCGTTGCAGGCTTTGTCCACGGCTTCACGACTGCACAGTTTTTCCTCCACCAGCACTGAGTAGATCTGTGCCAGAAGCGCCGTGGCACCTTCATCCAGCTGGGGAGGCTGCAAATCCTCCTCATCCTCCTGCATTCCTGCAGTGCCCAGTTTGGTCCGGTGGACATACTGGGCAGCCCGGTTATCTCCCAAGGCATCCAAACAAGTTCTTGCATCCTCTTCTTCCCCCAGAGTAAGCAGGACCATGGCTTGCAGTAATTTGCTGCTGGGCCTAAATGTGAAGTGCTTCAGTTTATATTTGAGGCTAAAGAGTTTATCTTTGGGGATCTGGGATAGAATATTAAAAATGTCCTCAAAGCTTGGCTGGAGCTTGGTGCTCTGTGCCATCTCATCAGCTGGTGACCCAGGCGATGGACTGAAGTAGCATGGATGAAAAAAGCATATTATGGCACTTGGGACGGAGGTTTGTTTCCCTGCGATGCTCTGTGACGCCCCGGTCGCACTTCAGGTGCCGCACAAACGAAAACTGTTTGCTGCTCAGGGGCTCATCTCAGAACCGGTATCTCTCTGTCCGAGGAGCAGAGGCCAGATGAACCTGTGAGAAGAAGACAGGACAAGGTTCAGAAATAGCCATGTGGGAAGCTGGGGCCTCCTCGCAAGGTTTGCAGAGCTCCCAGGCTCTTACAGCTCTCAAGTATTTTTGCATCTGTTCAGTGCTTGCAGATCTGCCAGTGTTCCATTCATTATTCCAACTCTGGTTTAAGCAACGAGCAAGTTCTTTGCATTCATTTCGCATTAATTACAACTTTAAAAATAATTGCTGAACTAATAATGTATTTAGGTAAACCCAAGCGTCTGTCTCCTCCAGGCAGCCGGTTCCAGGGCCCTCGCAGGCTCCTTGTGATGGGCAGTTGAGGAATAAAGCGCGCTTAAGAGGAACCCTTTCAAATTGCTCATGCCAGGAAGGTTGATAACCCACATGCATCCTCTGTCAGGCTGCCTAATGTAATTGTGGGCATTATATCTCCATCCACATCTAATCCCTGAGCCCCGCTAAACCCTGCCACTCACCAAAGGCCCCTGACAGGGGTTAGATTAAACAGCAGGACTTGTCCGGAGCGGAGGAGTGGGTGCGCAGAGGGTCCACGGGCAGCCAGGAGGGACACTGCCCACAGGCACTGACTGAGCCCGGGGGAAAAGCTTTCCCTATTTAAAGGGAGCAGCAGCGAATGCCCCAAAATAGTTCTCAATTGGGGAAAGTTTATAGTTTCAAATCGCTTTTTTTTTTTAGATCTCATAAAAATCCTCTGATTGCCTAATGAGCGAGCTCAAACCGAATCGGAGGAAGTTGCTGGTTCTTTCCACGAAAAACCTCTGATGCAGTGGAGGGGCGGCCGGAGGGGAGGGCAGCGGGGACCTCGGCCGCCCGCTGCCCCCCCCCCCCCCCCCCCCCCCCAAGGCCCCGGGCTCTGCCGCTCAGCCCCCGCCCGCCCGCCGGCCTCACCTCGTGTGCGGGGAGCGGCGCCGGGAGCCGCTTCCCCCGCGCCCCCGGGAAGGAAGGAAGGAAGGGACGGGGCCGGGCTCCCACCGGCCGCTCCTGCTCCGCGGGTCCCCGCCCGAGGGCTCGGTGCGGCGGGGCCCGGCGGAAGCGGCGGGACGGGGCGGAGCGGAGCGGGGCACGGCCGGGGCGGAGCGGGGCTGGACCGGAGCGCGACCCGGGTGGCCGTGGCAGGAGCTGCCACCCCCCTCCCCGGAGCGGGGTTTAGCCGCCGGTGGCAGGCCCCCCGCCGCAGGATTAAAGCCTTAAACCCGAGCTGCTGCGGGGCGGCTCGGCCGGGGAACCGTTTCCCTCTAGTGGGAGGCGGATACGCGTCCTCACATCAAGTGCTGGTGCGAGCGAGGTTAGAAACCCCGGGGCTCAGAGGTGCAGCAGAGCCAGGAGTACAGGCACCAGTCCCAGGACAAAATAGCAAAGGTACTTTTCTGCTTAAGACTGAATCAGAACAGCGGAACTGCTGGAAGCATTTTTTTTTTTTTCCCCTCTATGCACGTTATCCAGAGAAGCGACTGCTTCCGACCAACTCAGGCCAAGGGGAGAACAGAATGCTGCAGCTTTACATAGACACCAGAAACAGATATTTGAACACAGGTCACACTTTATTCTGAAGTCTGCTTACCATTCCAGCCTTAGCACAGGGCATAAGTTACTAAAAATAAGTTACATTAGAAATTATTACAAAGCAGTAGGTTTTGGTTATTTTCCCAGCAAACATCTCCCCTATTTTAATAACAGAATATCCTATTAGCATGGCAGAGTAACTCCTGGGAAAAGCCACTGCCTTTGCCAGCTTCTTAATGGCTGTAAAACGCTTCATGCACAGAGTTAGACACAAACAGAAGATAACTGAAGTCAATTATATGAGTAGGACAGAATCCCACTGAAAACTGGCATGCATAAAAGAAAATCCCACCTTGCTAAGTGTTTCTCTATGAAAGAAAAAGTGTTTGTCTGAAGTCTCTTTAGACAGCAGCCTCTTGCCCCCAGCTGTTTCTGGTCTGCTGCAGGGCTGAGCCTCCCCGGAAGCACAACAGGCAGAAAGGAAGTTATGTCTGTAATACATTTTTAAACTTGTAGGAGGAAAGAAATCATATCAAAGGTCAAGTGCATCACCCTCTCAAGCTCTCTACAGCTTGGATTAATTAAAACCAAAACCAATATTAAAAATAAAGTTGAAGCTACTTCTGTCCCACAACATGTCTCAGCAAGAATTAGCCATTTACACATACAGCTGGGCCGACTTAAAAAGCTGAAGTACAGGTTCCCATTTTCCCTTTTAGTGCAGCAGCATCATTTAAAAAACAGTAAATCAAGATATGGAATCACCCCACCTTGGTTATCAAGTCTCCTTGCAAACTACTTCTTAAACTCAGCCTGGGACGGGGAGAGAGCAAGAGGCACTCTCGGCACGGCTGGCAGTTGGACATATGATTAAAAGATAAAGTGCTGTTCTAGCCAGGGAACATTGGCCAGAAGAGCTGGAATTTTTATGAGATCTTGCTCTGGTGTATTAGTTTTTATCTCCTTTGCAGCCAGTGCCACCTCTGTCTTTTTCTGCCTTCTCTTCTGGTTTCTCTAGCACTTCACACCCTTCACCTGGGATCCTGTTTGCTCCCTTTGGTTCTTTAGGTGTTTTAGCCATCTCCTTCGATGTAGCCTTTTCCAATACAGGTGATTTTGTATCAGTCACTGTATCTTTCTTCTGCTTTCTGCTATCCTGTGACACTTTAGCTATCGCCCTGAAGGGACCCACAAGCCAGTTCAGAGGGGTGTTCTGAGTTACATGCTCAAACAGGTCATCTAGGGACCTTCGGGCTTCTGCCACACAGTCCTGGCTCTGGGTCAAGGTGGTGCTGGAGAGGTCCTGGAAAGACATAGCACTAGAAAAAGAACTATGGAGCTTGTGGATGCTTCGGGTGGCCTGATACACAGCTTCTTGGATGTTGCTGGGAAGGCCTTGGATGCTGGCTTTCAGATTCTCATAAACAGGCTGTAGCTGCTGGGTGATGATACGCAGCATAGCTAGAGTCCGCGACTCTACCTGCTGGGAAAGAGATACAGCTCAGTTACTAGCACAGATGAGATGTAAACCATCTATGAGAGGCCTGATTAAATATGGCCTTCTAGTGATACCTCTGGTTGGGAGGCAGTTTTCACTTGGTTTCCTTTGGGCTGGGTCAGGCTCCAGTCCACCCACAGCTGGTGGAGCTTCTCCTGCCCATCCAGAAGCTTCTGGCCAACCTCCTGTTTCACAGATTCAATCTGATGGGAAAAATGAGAAGAGCTGTATTGCAAGCACACAGAGAAGCACAAGTGATTCCCTCCTAGGGAAGGATCCAAGATGCCATGTAGCTGGTACATGATGGAGGAAGAGCTTCCATCTGGATAGCAGGGCAGAAAGACAGACAGGAGGAGAAAGGGAAAAGCGTGTTTGTACCAGTTTTATTGCCATCTGTAGTCGTGAGAGAGTATCCTGGGTGCTTTGCTTAATGCACTGCAGTTTCTTCAGGGAGTGCTGGTAGGCTCGGCGGCGGACTTTGTTAGAGAGGGAACCCAGACGCACAAAGTACCTCTGTTGCTGTTTCTGATCCTCCACAGAAGCCATACCAAATCCCTCGACAGTGGTAGCAAGTTTACCTGGAGGAAACAAGAACAGAGATGCAGCTGTGCTCCGCTTGCCCAGTTGTAAGGAAGGTGAAGTAGTAAGATCACCTATTGAAAAACATGAAGGCTGAAGTTTGCTGTGTAAACAGTAGGTTTGTAGTTGCTCAGATATTACAGGTAGGCTAGTCCCTGCTCAATGTGTTCTCTTCAGATCAGCAGACTTAACAGATAAGTTGAGACATGGACCCACATGTTTATTTGCCTTGAGGCCGATGGGCAAGGACCAGCTAACAAATGATTGAACTCTGTCCCATACTGTGTGGCAAGTCGGTGTTGACAGATAGCCAACTTGGTGACAAATTCAGAGCTACCCATCTACTTCAGATGAGTCTTGCAGAGTCAGGTGCTCTAGTCATGTGGGAAAGGAATTGCATTTACAACCGCCAGCTAAGCATTTTCTCACCTAGCTCCTCCTCTGTCAGGGGGAGGTAGTGATCCACCAGATCTTCTGATATATCCAGGACAGATTCCACACCACCTGCCACTGCTTGGCTCACTGCCTTGGCTTTGCTTATGCTGTTGGTCACCACAGAATTAGTCTTCTCCACACCCTCCTGGATAGCCTCTCTGCTCTGCTCCAAGGCTGTATTTATTTTGCTAGTTAGGGTGCCATATGCAGCATCCAGAGCTGTATTGACTGTAGAAGTGACCATTAATTTGGTCTTCTCGACACCATCCTGGACAGCCCCTTTGGTTAGGTCCATTGCTTCAGTTACTGTGTTGGTCACAAGGTCCTTGGCACCCTGGGCAGCCCCTACAGCAGCAGTAATAGTAGAAGCAACAGCAGACTTGGTCAGTCCAACACTGTCTTCCACGATGTGTTTAGTGAGGTCCACTGCCTCTGTCACCTTGTTGGTCACAAGGTCCTTGGCTCCCTGGGCAGCTTCCACAGCACTGACAATAGAAGAAGCAACAGCAGACTTGGTCAATCCAACACTGTCTTCCACGATGTGTTTACTGAGGTCCACTGCCTCTGTCACCTTGTTGGTCACAAGGTCCTTGGCTCCCTGGGCAGCTTCTACAGCATTGACAATAGTAGAAGCAACAGCAGACTTGGTCAATCCAACACTGTCTTCCACGATATGTTTACTGAGGTCCACTGCCTCTGTCACCTTGTTAGTCACAAGGTCCTTGGCTCCCTGGGCAGCTTCCACAGCACTGACAATAGTAGAAGCAACTGTGGACTTGGTCAGTCCAACGCTGTCTTCTACCATGTGTTTAGTGAGGTCTACAGCTTCGGTCACTTTGTTAGTCACGAGGTCCTTGGCACCCTGGGCAGCTTCCACAGCACTGTTAACAGTGGAGGTGACCACTGACCTGGTCAGCTTGACACTGTCCCCAACAACATTTTTAGTGAGGTCCACAGCTTCAGTCACTTTATCAGCCATTGCTTCTTTTGCCTCACAGGCAGCACCCACAGCAGATGTCACTTTGGTGGAAACCAGCTGCTTGGTGTCTGAGATTACCTACAACAGGGAGAGAGGTAGAGAACGATATGTTTTTTTTCTAAAATAGGTTTTCCCTTCCTGAAGTAGCTTTTTCATAAGGCTAAATTGTGCTTGCAGTCTTGCGGGAGAGCTGGGGAAGTCAGTGCACCTATATTTACATGGACATGTTCACTTCCACATGCTGAAAGCATCTCTCCAGCTTTCTTCAGCAAGCAGTGCCTCCTCTAGCCCAAACCAGGGACTGACCTGACAAAGCAGTGCTGCTAAAGTTTATTTCCCCATATTCTTCTGTACCCATAACAGTTCCACCAAGCAAGAAAGAACAACTCATGGCTTCCCAAGGAAAAGCCTTTACTTTACCTTATCTGCTGGCTGTTGAAGAAAAGGCAAGTTCTCCTCCAGCTGATCCAGCCCTTTACAGGCATATTCATTTACAAGTGCAACTAGCAAAGACAACATGTACCAGATTATTCTTCAATTTGGAGGAGGGAGTGGTGGTGGTAACCCTACATTGGCCAATTCAGGATACACTCATGAAAGCAACTCCCCCCCCCCCCAAAAAAAAAAAAACCACCCTGTTCTGGGATGGGGGTGTCTTGTTAAGTGAACAAACCCTACAATTTGGCAGGTTTAGTCTCCATTTTGCCTTTCCAGCTTTCTAGCTATTGTCAGCAAATTGTTCCAGGTGAATGTAATACTTGCTCCAGTGGGTTAGGGCAAGTAGTTTAACGGGTTAAAAAATGTTGGGATGAGGCAGTCTGAGCTATATCCAAGATGGATACTGCTGCTGCCAATTGGGATGCTCATAACTGGGAGTGATAGAGAAAAAGCAGGGATGTTTTGCTTAGCAACAAAGAAACCACAGATAGGAGGCCAAACCTTGTTTCTGCTAGTAACAGTTTTATGACCATGAAACTCAGTGGGTTCAGGGAGCAGCTGGGAGCTGCTGAGTGGGAAACGCAATGCTACAATTAACTAGAACAATGTGCTGCAGGAGGGGATGTCACCCAACAGGCACATGGAACTCCCCACCTATTTCCCGGGTAGAAAGGGTCACTTCTGCCTCTTCACTTACTTTGGGGCTCAAGTTGGTTCAGGATGGGCTGTGCCCCACCAACCACGCTACCTACTGCGACAGCAGCCACAGTCTCAGCCACATTGCAGACACCACTGAGGTAAGGATGAGTCTCCTTGGTATAGTTGTAGGCAGATGAGACCAGGTTGAATGCAGAGTTGAACAAGGGCAAGCTGGTTACCCGATTGACAGCACTCTAAAAATCCAAGAGAAATAAATGACATTAGAGACCTGCCTCAAGCTGGTGGGTGGATACAAGCCATGTGTCTATCCAGAAAGGTCCTAAGGGGGCATATCCAGTCCATCTCATCATCCTTCTTAAACTCAGAGTTGAAGGGACTCATCCAAAGATTGCTAACAAGTCAGCAACAAGCCAGGATTAAAAGTTCCAGCTCTGGTCTCATGAATTCTGAGTCACACTGGGTTTCAGCACCAAACCCAGATGTGGAAATAGGACCTGAAACAGCTCATGTATCAGAATTACATTACTTGAGCCAGCCCTGAAGTTTTCTGTTGAGCAAAAGAAGTTAGCTTCTATATTAAGTTTAGACTCAGCCACAGCTTCATATGATTAATCTTTCTGCTACTCCCTTCTGGGTTTTGAGGTGCTGACAGCAGTTAGTTTACCAGCGTATCGGTCAGCAAGTAGTTTAACTGTTGCGTTTTAGAGTAGTAGCTACGCTGGCACCTACCGCTTGCTGATGTTCCTCAGCTTTTAGCAGGTCTTTTTTTGTGGTCTCTGATGCCATATTGAATTCACCTGCAGCTGAAAGGAAAAACAAGAATATAACAGCGTAAGTACAACTTAATTTCCTCCAGTGAATTAGTAAAATTGGGATCCACCATTCAGCATGCCCTAGGAACATTAGTGTGGCACCATTAGTCTTTCACGAAAGGGTGTGAAGTGATTTAAGAGGCTCCATGAATTATGATGTACAAATATTTATGTAGGACAAGGACTTTACTCAGTCACCGCCCTCAATCCCCAAACAGCCAAATACTTTAGGTTAAATAACCATCCTGCTTATTGCTGATAACATTTGACTGGCTTCAAAGTTGCAGGTTATAAGTGGGTGAGAACTCTTATCTATCATGCATTTCCTCTGCTAGAGATACTTCTGGTTCAGATTCCCACTGCACAGGCTCTTCGCTGGCCAAGGACTGGAATGCTTGAGGGAGAGATGCACCCTGCAGAAGTGGGGCTAATGGTGGAAATCACTGAACTTTGTCTCATTCAATTGTGACAGATTACTGTCCTTCCAACAAGCCTTGCTAAAATGCAGCTGTAGAAGGGCTTGTTAGGACAGTAGTAATTTTTTTTAATTTTAATTTTCAAAATGTGGCAAGCTCAAACAGTTTAATAATGGAATTTAAAACCAGAAATATTTCTTTTGAAAAAATGGTCTGAACTTGCTTAATACCCATTAAGGGGGAAAAGCCCTCAAATTTCCCCTACTTTGTCCGAAAGAGATGGATTTTACAATGGCTTAATCCATTTTCTTCTTTGGAAACTGGCAGGACTTCAGCTCCCCTCCAGTGTCAGAGCCAGAGACTGAACAGATGCTGAAACAGCAATAGGCATATTTTACCTTCTTAGAAAGTGTTCTGTGTTTATAGTCCCCTTCCTCTGAAGTATCCTTTGCAAAGGGCAGAGTAATTTTAGAGTCATCCTACTATGCCTGTGTTCATAGGGATGAACTTTTTTCAACTCCCCCACCACTGCCAACTCTGGCAACACTGACAGTCTCACAGCTCTGGGAAGGATAGGAAAATCCTTTGAAGTTTTCCTAGAAGAGTGAGCCAGGTTTTGCAGCTACAGCATTCTGGCTGGCTACCTTGAAGCTTTCATTCCCATTGTACTGACCAGCTAGGCAGGGAATTTCTTCTCACTTCCTGTGAAACCAAGTCTCAAAAGTATTTTCATTACATAAGGGGATTAAGAAGTTAAAGTATAAAAATTATGCAATATCTTGAATGTGTATGCACTTCTCCAGCATAGACCTAGGTTGGTATCTGGACAGTCCAGTATCGTGTGATAGATCCAGGATTACTTCTCAGCCTTAGGCAGACACAGCAGGGATTTCAGCATATTTGTTCTTCAGTGCAGCGTCTGCTTTTCTCTCCCTTGCCAGCTAATTCCTATTCTTAGAATTGCTATGGCATTTTCCAGCGGAAAACCCTCAAACCAAAATTCCTCACAAACTGGATTCCCAAGGCAAACACTGCTCCAGGCTCAATGGCAGACTGTACCCAAAAAAACTTGCCATCTGATTTGTGACAGAGACCATTGTCTTGTTTCTTGTGTTTTGACTTGTGTAAAGTTCTTATTTTGCAGTGGAAACAGGAACAGAGAGCTGGGGAGGAAGTAGTTAAAACAAGCATGTTAGCCCTGGACTGACTATGGATAGAGCTAGGGGAGACATCTCAGGAGTTAACTTGGCAGAATGTCAAATATTGCTCCATTAACCATGCAATTACTCAGCATTTTAGCGAGATTCAAGCAAGGCAGGGATGCAGAGTGCTACATGTCTACAGCAAAAGCTGCCACAAAAGTTGCCACCTCCAGCCTCTCAAGTGACAAGTCCCAAGGCAGGACTCTTCCACACATTCCTGGTAACCACCCTGCCCAGGGGGCTGCCTAATTTAACAGCAAAGCAAAAATACAGCTTGAATTTATTCAGCCTGAGAGAACTTCTAGAAAACTGCTCCGAACAAGAGCAGAGCTTGAACATAATCTCAGTCCCAAAGTCCACAGGGTTTGCTGTTAGTGGTTGTTCCTCTTGCACTGCTTTAGAGCAAGTTTGTTGGGTTTTTTTTGAAGCCAAGTAGGCTGAATCAGTCTGCAACTCTATCACAGTGCAAAGCACAACTATTTCAACACAATTAAACAACCCCCCTTGCTCAGTTATTTGACTTCTATACAGGTGGGGAAAACCTCAGACTGCAGTCTTACTGACCTTGCTGTGAGGGTTAGCACCCAGACACACATTGCAGCAAAAAAGAGGATTGTAGTTGCTAGCACAAGTCAGGAGTAACTCCTTAGCTGATGTAAAAACTAGCATAAGATTAAAATCAATTTCTGAAGTACTAGGAGCTCATTTTAATGATGGATGCAACTGTGTCAATGACAATCCTTGCAGCACAGTCATGTTGGAACATGGTTTGCTTTCATCCGTAGGAGGAATTGGGGTGTGTTGTAATGCCAGTATTTGTGCGCAAACCTTCATGAGCTCACAGCATGGTTTTATTTTCTCTTTCCCCTGCAAAAGTGCTAGGCAGCACTGGTTTTACTTCAGAGATTGCAGGAAAGCACAGTGCTTAGCAACTCTGGGTCAGTTGTTTCAGAATTCTTTGGAGAAAGTCACAGCATGTGAGAGTCCCAGCAGGCAGACTCCATGTGTGGAAACCACCAGGCAGAAGAGCAGAAACAGCATTGCTGTTTGCTTTGGTTACGGTTTGCTTTCTATGAAACTGATCCGATTATTTCATACCATTGCTACATCAGAAACTAAGTCAGTGCTAGAGAAAGTTCTTGAAGCAGGTAGCTTCAGAAAGATTAAACTCTTCAGTGCACATTTCTAGCATGGCATAATAGCTTAACTGCTGATCATCGCCCCATTTAGCAGAAGTTTGAACTCAGGAAAACAGCAAGGGCAATGACACCAAAGCTGCCAACAGTTTTCCCTGCCTTGGCCAGACTGTCACAGCCAATGCAACATGCTAGCTTGGCAGAAGAGCAAGTCCTTTCCTGCAGTGGTAAGCAGGATTTCTCTCTTGATTTCTGCCACTCTGACAATGACCAGCATACATAAAGCTAGTTCTTTAACTTGTGTTTTTATTTTTCCTATGGAAAGCAGCTCTGCCGCATGAAGATAGCCTGCAGACAGAGGTAGAACCTTGTTGTTCAGGAAGCTTTTCTCCCTTCCAAATGGATTTTACCTTGGGAAGACAGATTGAGCCATAGCTAGCATGCCTGGTTCAATAGCTTAATTGGCAATTCCTTAACAGCCATTTAGGAAAACAAAGCTAAATTTAGTGTGTTAGATATGAGCAGGGAGGGCTAATCAGGGCAGAGACATTAATTTGTGGTTAAAGCACTTATATTCTTTTCGAAATTTGCCACCAATACCCCCGTTACCATAAATGCAGTCAGCAGAACTGGGTCACGGGATGGCTGCTGCAGCAGGGAATGGCACTGCCCGCAGAGGGAGAGTTTGCAAATGCTCTGAGGGCAGTTAGTTTTAGGAGGCAGATCAGATGATTTTCAGCTTTGACTTTAGGACATTAGTTTCAAAACTGCTGGCAGAGGCCCATATAACCTTTTTGGAAAAGCCATCAGCTTTAGGAAACCTCAAAGATTAAAGCCACTTTTGTAGATGGAGGCAGGGTTTCCCCCCCACACACTTAAAATGGAAATTAAGCACCACAGCCAGTGGCCATTACTAGGTCAGTAGCTCCTTGGGACAGTGAGAATATAAACCGTCTAAGCTATTAGAATTTCAAGATATTTTAGGAGAGAGAGTTTAATTAAAACAGCTTCTGGACTTTCCAGTTACTTAGCAGTTTTTCCATAAGGGCAAAGCTGCGTTTCAGACAGAAGCTATAACTTGCAGAGCAAGCAGCATGCTGCTTGCTCTTTAACACGTATTTTCATCTGGAAGTTTCAGCAGAACCAGCTTCAGCAATTGAAGTCCTCCACAGCCACACACAGTTTCAGGTAGTCACGACCACATTTAAAAACCCTGTCAGTCTTGAGAAACACCAGGCTAGTTTGCCAGGTGCTCCCTCCAGCCAGCTGGCAGAGCCGGGCATGGCTGCAGCCTCCAACTGCAGAGGCACCGTGCTCTTGAGCAAGAAACCTTGCCACTCGAGCCACCCCCTTCGTTAAGGCTATTATCGTGCCTACACCAAATGATCATGTGAAATAGCTGCAGGCAGGTCTGGCAGCACTGTCAACAGGAAGGGGATGCCCAACTGATCCGTCCACCTCCTGAAGCACGCACGGCTTCCCCCAGCGCCAACACAAGCACACGGTGACGTCCAGGGGGCACATCACGCGCTGTCCCTGCGTGGCTGGGTGCGAGAGCCACCTCCTGCGGACCCCCTTGCACAGCTTTGATCTTCAGCAGGCAACAAGCAGAAAATAGCTTTCAGACCCCAAGCTACTCAATCACAGACCCACAGTGCTACCAAGAAGTCCTCTCAGGGCTAGGAAGAAGCCTTGATGGAAGGATTTGAAGCGCTTCAGCTCTTCCCCAAGGCGCAGCAGATACAGCGTAACACCATAAGATGCCACCTTTGGCCTCAAAAAGCCAAGACACCCCCCACCCACAGATGGGGGAAAGCAGCAGAGGCACAGCACACAGCTCTGTGCTTTCCCAGGGAGCTGGAAAAGCCCGATGGGCACAGCTGGGGGAACACAGCCCCTCAGCAGGTACACTGGAACCTCAGCGCTCCCCAGGGCCAGGAGCCACAGGCTCCAGGCACGGATCCATTTCTGAGCCCAGCCCCCACCCTCCATCCCTGGCAGGGCTACAGAGAGCCACCTGAGGTGAGGGGGAACCCCCAAGCCAAGCCACAAACCCCATAACCACCTCCCTGCCAGCCCAGCCTTACCTGCCTCCTCCATTCCCCAGCACCGACAAGACAGGGAGCGCGAGACCTCGCCCCACATAAATACCCCAAGGGCCTGATGAGCAGCTGAACGAGCCAATGGGGATGCTGCAGGTGCTGGCCTGGCCAATGGGGAGTGGATGGGGGAGGGAAGGGTGGGAGGGGTGTGTGGGGTGGGGGTGAGGGAGGCGGGTGAGGGGCTTGAAGGCCTCTCCAGGGACCCGATGGCCGTGGGGTGCGTGGGGGTGCTGCTGGTTGTCTCCCCCCAAGAGGGACATACCTGCCAGGGGGTCTCAGAGGGCCCTTATGGAGGGCATCCATCCCCAAGCTCTTTGGCCTTGGGGTTGTGCCGTGGGGTGCTGGGGTGCCTTGCCCCACAGCAGCTGTGGACAGGGACATGTCCCCCGGCATGGCGGGGTGCTGAGGGGCACAGGCGCTGGAATTCTATGGCGATCTGCCCTGTGGTTGCAAAATGGGCTCAGCCCATCAGCCTGCAGGCGCTGCTCCGGTTCCCATGCTTTTGCATGCCTGTTTGGCTAAATCTCTGAGCTGGATGATCCTGCTTGCCATCACGTCGGCCCAAATGCACTGCCTTGCTTGTCAGAGCTCCATGGCATCTCAGACATTGTCAAGAAGCCCCAGAGATGCAAGATGTGGGGTCTGTGATGTGGAAACATCGTTCAGCCATGATGTTTTCTTGGCAAGTCTCTCCTACCCTGCAGCATGGGTGCTGCAACTACCCAAGGAGTAAGACATGCTGTCCCGCTCTCAGCCCTTGCCTGCCTACAGCAAATAGTGATGGTGAAACATGCTGCTTCTCATGTTTGCTGTGATTTTCTAGATAAGGACTGCCTTTTATTTTTATACTTGCAAAGGGCCCAGCAATGCAGGACTCTGAGCCTGGCTGGGAGAGATTTGGGCTTTTTAGTAGTAACAAATAATGAAAATTTTAGCTAAAGCTTTGCTTTTCCATTTGTGCCTTTTCATCTACAGATCTCAAAAACTGGTTTGAAACCATCAATTAAGCTTCCTGTTGTCTGTTTTCAAGATCAGTGGGGGAGGAAACTGAGGCACAGGTAAGAATTATCTGAAGTCTTCTAAAGCTATTAAACTGATTGAGTCACCTTGTTTTTGGCCGGTGAATGCAGGAGACCTTAGGTCTCATTTCTGTGTTGCCCACAGTAAGCCATGAAGGCAGTGGGAGCAGGAGGTTGGCAATGGTTTTTGAAAACGTGCTGTTAAGCTGACAAAAACGTAGACAATTATCACTTCTCAGCTTTGAGGTTAGGAAGAATCCCCCTCCTTACTTGTGTCAGATTTATCATGGAGCTGTTGGCTGAAAAGACCTCTGGAGGTCAGGTAGCCCAGCTTGCTGCTTGAGACAGGACTATGAGCAGTGCCAGCTCAGGTCAGCTATGGGCTTTGCCTAGCTGAGTCTTGAAAAACTCCCAGAGATGGAAATCTCACACATCCTCTCTGGGTATTGGATCCAGTATTGCATTATGCTCCTACTGAAGAAGCAGTTCCTAATGTTCACTCTGAACTCCCCCAGCTACAAATTGTGGCTTTTACCTCTTGTTTTGCCACCTCCACTACTGAGAAGAGTTTTTGCACGTTTGTCTGTGTGACATAAACTTCATATTCTAGCATCACCTGAAAGTTTTTCATCTAACAAACTCCCTGGCAGTGCATGGTCCCTCCTTTGATCTCTTTACCTTTACAGGTTAAATTGCAGTTTTGAAGTGTTCGATGTCTTGTACTAAAGTCTTATACTAAAACTGAAGCTGATTAGCAGGTGTCACATGGTGGCTTTTATAGGTTGTGATGTGTGTAGGGGAAATAATGGATGTTCTTGTCTGTCCTCTGAAGATCTGATGAAATGGTTTCTTTTTTGCAGGAACCAGAAATCAAGAAATTAATCCTGTGTTTTCCTGAATATTGGCCTGTATATGGGCAGTGGCTGCACCCCCAGGTAAAGTGTCAACGAGGCAAATTGTCAGTTAGTTCATGGGTGTGAATTGTCTGAGTAGGCCAGTTGTGGCAGTGATGGTGAAAGTCACATAAGGCAGGTTATATTTCATCACCTAAGTGGGTAAAACAGCACTCTGTGCACGATATGCCTTCATGTGGCTTGTAACGTGGCCCAGACGAATGTAAGCAGAAGTGGCAGGTGGTTTGTGTGAGATAACATCGGTAATTATAATTAACGAGACAGTGTTTAATACCTAAAGTGTAGCTTAAATACTAGGTCAAAATACCAATGCTTGGAGCTTGTGCTCAGTGGTAGGCCTGCCGGCAGTGTCACAACGCTGAAGGTTTGGAGATTGCCATTTCAGAGCAAAGGTTTGCATGATCATTTCTGTGATTCTTGCTACTCTGTAAACGCCACATATTTAAAACTGAGATAAAATCAGTTCTAAGAAGTTTGGTGGGCGTGGGAAGGGTGTAGGAGGAAGCAGAGAAACATGTTTGGGGAAGAGAAAGGGAGTCATGTTGGCTGGGGTGAACGAGCCCTGTGGCACTGGGCAGCGCTTCCCACAAAAGGCAGCATCGCGTCAGTAACTGCGGCCTTTGTGCAAATGAATTGTAGAACCATCGAATCCCAGATTGGGAAGGACCTCAGGGATCATCTGGTCCAACCTTTCTGGCAAATGCACGGTGCAGACAAGATGGCCCAGCACCATGTCCATCGGAATCTTAGAAGTGTGCAGTGTTGGCGAATCCACCACTTCCCTGGGAAGATTATTCCAGTGGCTGTTTATTCTCACTGTGAAAAATTTTCCTCTTGTATCCAGTCAGAATCTTCCCAGGAGTAACATGTATGTTACATGTTGTCTTTGAAAACACCTCTTGTCTTTTCCATGTGACTCCTTGTAAAAAGGGAGTCTCCATCTTCTTTGTAGCCACCCTTCAGATACTGGAACATGGTGATAAGGTCTCCCCCGAGCCTTCTCTTCTCAAGGCTGAACAAACCCAATTCTCTCAGCCTTTCCTCGCATGGCAGGCTGCCCAGTTCTTTGATCATCTTTGTGGCCCTTCTCTTGACCCTGTCCACATCTTTTTTGTATAGTGAGGACCAAAACTGAACACAGTATTCCAGGTGTGGCCTGAGTAGAGTGAGATAATCATGCTACATCATCAAGACACGGGGCAGAATCCTTCTGGTGATCCCCAGGCATAAATCCCGTCTCGTGTGCCTGTGGGCAGCCCTGCTGCTAGCTTACAGCTCTCGTTTCAGCTGCGTCCTGGAGTCTGCATGTGGATGAGGCCTTTCCAGCTACGTGCTTCTCAGTTGTCCCAGTCCTGTTTGGATTTCTGCTGAGTGGAAAACACATGCAGGTATGTGGAGGATTTGGAGGATCCTTATGTTGAGCCCCCACTGTTAGCTGCAATTCCTCTCCCCGCTTTGTGATGCGTCACAGCTCAACATTGTCCCTTTGGGGACCAGAGGCCACATGTGACACCAAAGTGCCCCATTTGTAAGTGTTCATCTACTGCAACGGAAATGATCTTGTTGATCTTCCATGGCATTTACTCCATTAGTAACTTCCCACAGTGCCATGGTCATGTTCCCTGGGGCAGACACAGGCACAAGAAAAGATGATGCAAGGGTGAGGTATGCATTGCTTTGATTTCTGTTCCTCAGTTAAATCAAGCAAAGCCCTTGGGCTTCCAGCAAACTGCTTGAGAAGCTCGGTACAGCTGAGCTCAGGTGTTCCTCTTTTAGGAGCTGCGCAGTGTTGTCTGGAGCCCACTGATGGGACAAGTCAGCCAGTGGTCTTTGCCATTCGTCGCTGTGCAACGTCCACAATATATTTGCTGTCAGCCCCATCTGCCTCCTCTGACTGGAGACTCTGCTTTCTCATGTTCCTGTCTTCCTCTCCTCCACCACTTCTCCCTGCTGAGAGTGAGTGGTCCTTGGGGGTACCAGTGGCAGAAATAGTTTCGTCTGGTCACGTCACCTCAAAGTGCTCTTTCCCTCTAATGCTCCAGCTTCCTGTCAGCTGCAGGAGCTGTTGGTGCTTGTCGCAGCAGCCTTGTTCAAAGCCACAGTCTGAAGGAACGTTGAGTGTCCTGGAGACGATCCTGCAGTGCTGGGTGTTTGGATTCTGAGCAGAGCGATGGAGGCAGGGCCATCGTAGAAGAAGACTCCATGCTGGATCCTGTCCAGTGTGACCCATCTGTTGGTCTCTTTCACCAGTCTTTGCATGGCGATCTCCAAAGGCGACGGCCTTCAAAGTACTGTGGCCATCTGGAAACAATTCTCCAGTGAGGTTCCAAAAGTTTCAGCCCAGCTCTTTTCCTCCCAACAAACTCCCCTGGTCTCCAAATCTTCAAAGTGCTTTCCTAGTTCAGGGCGTGCTGCAGCTCTCTGCTGCCCTCACCCTGCACCAGCAGAAACAGGACTGGCCTGGCTCCTGCTGCCTGGCAGCCCCTCTCACCTTGAGGGTTTCCCAGCCGCTGCTTCCCTTCCAGCAGCTCACCTACGCTAGCATAAGGGCAGGTTCCTGGCCAGAGCCCCAGACACCTTTGCCCTCACTTCAGGGAACAGCCCGATGGGTTCTGAGCTGCTCTCCCAGTCTTCCAGTTCACCTTTCAGCTGGTTTTCAGACTGCAGGCTGGTTTTCTACACACCTGTCTGCTCCTCTGCTGTTGCACTCTTGCCTCATACAGTGTTATCTGGGCCTGCTAAGTGCATCCTCTCCATCTCAGGCCATTGCTGAAACCCCTACTCTTTGCTTTCCTGGTAATCAGAAACACAGGCTCCCTTTACATTACTCCCCAGACTTGGGGTTTGGTTAGCTTGATCACAACTATTTTGGAAATTGTAGGAGCATTAAGGAGAGCAGCATTTGTCCTGGACTCCAGCATCATGTCTTCATTTTGGTTTTCCAAGGAGTGGTGAAGATCTCATACAGGACAACTGAGTACGAAACGAATAACACCTTTCAAATATATTTGCTTAACCTGTTGTCGATATCTATCATGCAGACAATGGTTTCACCAAGGGCAAGTATATTTTTCCCAAGGGAAATCTGAAGGATTAGAGAGCTGCTTTGCTGAAGCTGCAGAGAGAAACTGATGCTTGTTCAGCTTCCATCACCAAAGAGCATTGCATGGAGGAAGAGGAAAATGCAATCTGGTGTGTTGCTATTGCTGGGTGCAGCACGACTGTGTCATCCCAGTGCATGTGGAAATTTGAACAACACACCCACTGAGACTGCCTGACCTTACATCTGGGCCCTGCTGTTTAACCTAGGGGAAAGTCTCTTGCTGTGGTGCATGTCACAGAACTGAATCATCGCTAGTTCTTCTGAACAGCTACGCAAAGAATACGTATTTGCACACATAAAAGCATAAATGTGGGCGCCTGTGAGGAAGACCAAAAAAACAGATTAAAAGCAGCATGTTCTAGTTATCTTGCTTTTCTCTGACCAGCTGCCCTGGTTCAGGGAGTCCTGGCTCTCAGAGCATTTCCTATGGCTCAACGAGTTAAGCCATACAATTAGTCATGTGCTAGAAGAAAAACATAGTTATTTGCATATCAAACAATCAGCTTTTTATGACACAACAATTAGTGATGGGCAAGCCATTAAATAGCTAGCTGGGGCAAATGGTCAGTTCTTGGCATTCTTTCCACCTGTGTTAGGTAGAACAGTCTGTTTCCCTTACCTGGTCTTGCATGTGTCCTTCATGATTCTCAAGAGATCTTCTCTCTAGTCACATATGGCTGCTTCTCTGTAGCTTCTCTATAGCTGCATCTTCTCTATAGCTGGGATGATTTCAGAGCCACAGCAAGTCGCTTGGACAAAGCAGATGTGGCCTCTTTAGCTGGTGAGTGCGGAGGGGAGCCAGGCAGGTTAGCTGGAGAAGTCAAAATTGCATGTTCCTGAACCCAGCCAGTCTTCAGCAAGCTAAGCAACTTGCTGTCACCCTGAGCCTGTTAAACATTTAGGGTGTTTGTACCTCTCATAGTGCTTCTTGTGGTTTTATGGGACCAGCCTCCTGCTATTTTTCCCAGAAAGTTCTGTAAAGGCATTGTAAGGGATGGACTATGAATCGTAGTAACTGTAACGAGGAGGCTGTGCTGCCTACCCAGGGATAAATTTGACCCCCCTTGGAACTGGACCAGCTAGCAATTCTTCTTCATCCAAGACTTGCTTTAATGATATTTATCAACTGATAGTTCTTATGTGCATGCCTGGACTTTGCTTCTCCTAAATCATTGTGCCAAAACTTCACTTTGAACAATATTTCCATGGGCTGGAAGGCTGTTGGAATTTTGTCTTCCTAACTGCATCTTTTTGCAAATGAATTCAACAATGCCTTAAGTTTTCGTAAGCTGAACTGGATATCCCTGCTGGCAGGAGAACCGAGATATTGTTTCTTCACAGCATGGGGCATTTACCAGATGGCAGAACAGTGTTTTCAATCAGAATTGTAACTCCAAAGAAAAGAAATGCCTGAAACAGTCTGAAAGGGAGGAAACTAGAACTCATGAGCCTCTTGGATAACTGCAATATAACCAAATCTTGTTTTTTCTGATAGTCTGTGGAAACCTGAAGCTCCTAGGACTTTCTCACCAATGCCAAGTTCTTTGTAAGCTACCCTGGCAATGTTCTTGTTTTAATAGAAGAGATGACCTTAAAAGGAAGGCATATATAATTTAACCTCTAATGAAATCGGTGTTCCACTACTAGAATTATCTAGAATTGAGCTTTATTTTAAGACCCAACTGAACAGCGTGTAGGATGCAGCATAGTTTCTGCAGTATGTGGCTTCTCTGAATGAGTAGAAGTTTCTCTAGGAAGTGGGCTTCTTGTTTTCTGATCTGATAGTTCAAGGGATGCTACTAGTCATATGCAGCAACTGGCCAGAGCCTTTTCCTTGAACAGTCCGTGTGTTACAGTAATACTGCACTCCCCATGCTGTGATGGGACGTGCTGAGGGTAAAACAATGTATATGTGTTACATACTTGGCTACTTGAATGTATAGTTCTGAAATGGGGCGTATGGTGGGGTCAAATGGAAGGCAATCAGGTGCTATCAAAAACATATTTAGCACCTGAGTGTCAAAAAGTTGACATGAATAGCTAACTGTTCAAATACACAATCCTTGTGCATCAGCTTAATGGGACACAGAGTATTCAAGGAAAGGGTCAGGTTTGTGTCTTAAAGTGGCTTTTTTTGACCTTCTTATGGCGGTTTTATAGAGATGTCAGTGATGTGGGAAAAAAAAAGTCTGAAAGAGGGTAGTAAAAGTCTGTTGTTAAACTGCCCTGCATCTGCAAGTCTTGAGGGATGTGGGTTCTCCTCTCCTCTGGAAATGGGACTTATGTGGGTGACAAGATATGGACACAGGGACGCTGGCAAGCAACACTCATTTGAGCTGCAGGCTAGGAGAAACAAAACCGAGATGCTTTACACATGCAACCTGTCCTTAAACAGGTGAAAATAGTTTTTCCAATACGCGGCCCTTCCTCCTGCTCCTTGCTAGGTTTGTAACGTCTGAGGACCTTCTCAGGCTGTGGGAAGGGCTTGCTGCTGTGGTAGGTCAAGGTTAAGACTCTAATGCATCAACAAGGGGCAAAAATTACTTTCTGGCAAGGCAAAGCCTTCGGGTCTGGGAGGAAATGAAGCCTGACTGCTGCAGGTCGCAGGTCAGATTCAAGGCTTTTGTGCATTGACACATGCCTAACCTTTGGTACTAACCTAATCTGGGCCAGTGACTTTCAACCTGTGATCTCTGGCTTAACTGTGGGATCCCCAACAGATCCTAAGGAAGGAGGGGAATAAGGAAGAGGCGCACGCTGCTGCGGCGGTGTTGGCGTGCTGTATGCATTCTCTAGGGCAGTCTGCAAATCCGGGGGGGTTGGGAGGGTGCTACACCCCTCGCATTTTGTATTTTTTTTAATGCGAGAGGTTAGCTTTGTGGGTGCAGGGTGGGTATAACGTGGGAAATACTGTTTTGCATTTCTCTTCAGCGCGCCTCGTGTTCTCTTTGTCCGGAGAGGCAGGACAGCGGCTCGGCAGGTTGCAGTGTCGGTGGAGTTACGCTGGCAGCGCTGAACCCGCCGCCATTCCCGCCGCCATTCCCGCTTTCCCACCCCGGGGTCTCTCCCCCCAACCACCCGTTTTCATGCTTTTATACTCCTTTTGAAGCTGACTTTTCTCAGAAACCACTTGGTAATCGCCATCTTACAGTTTGCTCCATCCGATGGCCATTTTAAGCAAACTTTACGATTTTTCATTTCCTCGTAGCGTTAGTAGTTTTGGGGAGAAACATCCTCCCGGACCAGCCCTTTTTGTTGGCTCCTGCAGCCACGCGCACAGCCCCGCCGTGTCACTCAGGCGGAGTTTTCACGAGTGGGGCCATACACAAGCCCCAGAAGCAACCCGGAGCTAACAGGCCGGGGAGTTAGAGGCCTTTTGTGGATTATTCGCATTATTCAGATTATTCGCATCACAGCAGGGTCTAGAGCTCCCTGGGGGGAACGAGACCCTTCGGGTAAGAGGGTGCATAGGGACGCAGCTGTCAGAGGGGGAATCTTTCGCGGAGAGGAGTCTCCCGCGGGGGTCTCTCCGTGACCCCGTTTTTAGAACAATAACCGACACCGCGGAGGGTGAGCGGCTTTCCCCGGGGGCGGCGGAGCGGGGGACGCCCGGAGCGGGCTGCTCGCCGGGGATCCCCGGTTCCGGCGGGTGTCCCGGCCCCGTCCTCCCGGTGTCCGTGTCCCCCTCCCCGATCCCGTTCCCCAACCCCCCCCCCCCCCCCCCCCCCGCCCCCGACCCCCGCGGCGCAGCGATCCCGGGAGGCGGCGGCGGCCCCGCCCCGCCCGCTCGTTCCCGCCAGCGGCGGCCAATGGGCGGGCGCCCGCCGCGCACGGGGCTTTTCCGCGCCAAACTCCAAAGCCCGGGGAGAGCGCGGGCGGCGGCCGCGGGGCGCAGCGCGGCACCGGCCTCCAGCACCTCCACGCCGGTGAGTCCTGCCCGGCCGGCCCCCTCCCCCGCCCCAGCCCCGCCGCAGGACGGGGAGCGGGCCCCGGGAGGATAGCGGGGCGGAGGGGTTTTTCCTCCGCCGTGTCCGTGCCGGTTCCGCGGCGCCCGAGCCGGTGACAGCTGCCGGGGCACGGTGCGGGGGGGCCGCTGCTTCCCCTCCCTCCCCCGCTCGGGGCGGGTCTCCCCGAGGGGGTGAGCGCCCGGTGCCGGTTGGCGGGACGCGTCGCTCGGGGGCTGTGGCAGCGGGACAGACGCCCGCCCCTGGAACGGGACCGTGGGAGGGGGCGGTGTAACCGGGAGGAGCGGGGAAGCGGCGGTGTCGGGGAGGGACGCGGCTCACCATCGCCCCGCTTGGTTTTCGGGGTTGATGCGAACGGGACTGGCGGCACCCGGGGCGGCGGGGACCGCTGACACCCCCATCCCCGTTGTTTCCGCGGTGGGAACGAAAGCGATTTCCCCGCCTCACGGGGTGAGCGTGCGGGTTTGGGGGGGGGAGGGGGGGCTGCGGCCGCCGGCGCCCTCCGCAGCGCGACAGCCCCGCTATTCCACCGCCGCTCCCCCATCACCGGGCCGCGGTGGGAGGGTGGCGGCCGCCGGCTGGTGACGGCCCCTTTAAGACTGCCCGTTCACCCCCCCCCCCCTTCCTTCCCCGTTCTCATTTGCATGATCGCGCGAGACTGCGGCCGTTGGCCGCGGGGGGAGCGTTTTCAATTGTGGCGCGAGATACAGTTGGCGCGCGCCGCCCGCCCGCGAGGCGGCAGAGGGGGCACGGGCGCAACCAAAGCCGTTAGGCTGAGCGTGGGCGGGGCGGGGTTAAACCTTGAGGAACCAATCGGTGCCGGAACCGGCCGGGTTGTCGGCCAATAGCGCGGGGGGGGTGGGCGGGAGGGCGGGCCGGCCGGCTGGCTGGCGGGCCGGGCCGGCGCGGTAGGGTGAGCGGTCTCATTGATACGGTGCCCGGCGGGCCGGGCTCCGCGGGTACCGTGGTTTAACGCCCTTTGCTCTCTCCCGGTGCGATCAGGGACCGGCGCCATGTGGATCCAGGTGCGTACCATGGACGGGAAGGAGACCCACCGCGTGGATTCGCTCTCCAAACTCACCAAGGTGGAGGGGCTGCGCCTGCGGATACACGAGGTGTTCGGTGTCGAGCCCCACCGGCAACGTCTCTTCTACCGCGGCAAGCAGGTACCGACGCGGCGGGGGGACGTTTGACAGCCTCAGCCCCTCAGCGGTGGGGGGGGGCGGGGGCCCGCAGCGGCTTCAGCGGCTGCACACCCCCCCCACCTCCCCACCTGGCTCCCGCCAGCTGGGAAGGGATATTTTCATTTAATTTTGTTTTAATTGCGTGAAAGTGGGGTGTTTTGCTGCCATCTAGTGACTCCCGGGCTCCCTTCCGCGCTGCTCGGGGTCGGGCGGTGGGTCTGCGAGGAAAGGAGTCAGCAAGATAGTGGGCTTTTTTTTTTTTTTTTTGTTGCAAAGGTTTGTGTTTTTTTTTTTTTTTTTCTTTACTTTTCGTCTGCTGTGTTGCTTTTCTGTCTACGCACCACCTTTGCGAGCTTTCTGAAAAGACAGATATTACGAGGGGCTTTGTGGTGTGAAAGCACTTAGAAGTTTTTGAGCCTTGCAAGTTTTACTGCTCTGAAAGCCGTCAAGATCCCGTTTTCCATTTTTCTTTGTAAACTGGGATAGCAGCTCGTGATTTTTAAGTTTGTCTGTTCGTACATCAAAATCTCATTAGGTACAGAACCCGCTGTAAAATCTTGAGTGGCTCAGTAGTATATTATGCTCTTGACAGTATGCTTACCATTGCAGTTGTACAACTGTTTTCTTCCACATGAGTTAATTATCTGAATTAGTATTGAAGGCAACTGAAACTTTTCAAATACAATTTCCATACCCTGCAGAGTACTGCACTGCTAAACCTTCATGCTAAAGAAACTTCTGAATCCATGGTTGGTTGGTTCAAAGAAATTAATTTCAGAAATAGTTGGCTACTGTAGACTGCAGTTAGAATACTGTGAGATGGGTGGGGTTAAGTCAATTTCTAATTACTTTTTTCCACGTTTCCCTCCATTTTGGGATGACTAGAGCTAGCTGTACATTATAATTAGCAGGTGTGACTGTAGGATATGGAAATCTACCTGGACTCGCTTCAGTCTACCAAGTTTGGGTACTAGTAGTAGTAAAAAAAAGAGGCTTGTAGGAATATGTAGCATCTCTGAAGAGCTTGTGTCACCTCATTAGTGTAGATTTGGGTGCAGTAATTACCCACTGATCCAGCGTACGTACCCACTGTCGGCCTTACTTATGCTGAAGTCTGTGCACATAACTAAGGTCAAACCGATTTTCAGTAGAAGTGGTAACTTTTTTCAGTGAAGCTGCACTTGCCTTACAAAGATAATTCCTCTTTGTGTAATTCCAGTAGTTTTTAGTATAGGTGTGGTTTTAGAAACATTTATCCAGAGTGATCTAACCTCTCTTAGTCATCGTTCCCCTGCTGTGGTCATTAGTGCTTTGTCTGGCTTTTTGAATTGTTAGAAAGGTTCAAATTCTTATTAGTTAAAATTTGAAAGTGTTAGGAAAATACTCGTTAATTAAGAAGCCTGCCTGCTTTGTTAGAGGTACATCTTCAGATGCTGGCACTTTCAGACTGGCCTTTGAACTCCTGTGGTTTCATGTCCTGTTTGTGTTCTCTGCTTTTCCATTTCTGTTTGCACCTGTTGTCACATGTGTTCCTGGGTGATAACTACCCTATTTGTGATGTTGTCTCTTTGTGAAGAAGAAACAACTGATTTCTGGTTTGTTCTTGTGTATCTGGATGAGTTTTCATCTCTAAACCAGAAAAAGTCCAGATCCCTTCCTGTGTAGTCAGATTTCCAGGGATTGTTCCATAGCCATTTTATGCCATAAATCAGAATTGAATTATCATAGTGATTCCTGTGAAGTGTAAATTTTTGTGGTTTTTCTCTGTTTCCCCCTGATAGAGAACAAAGCTCTGGGGATTGCTTTTTCTGGTGGTTTGGGCTGGAAGGGGATGATCATTTCCTGTATAATTTCTTAGTCAGACCTTAAATATGTGGTGAAGTTTGTCTAAACTTCAGACTGCACTGTGGTCTCAAATACTGCATTTTAACTCTAAAATGGTAGTGTTCCTCCGAGTTCTTGAAGGGTAATTGAGAGATCTATTTGGTCTTTTGTACTTCTCTTTTTGCAGGGGTAGGATCTTGATTTGACTACATATGATGCCAGACTTGCAAAATAAACTCTTAAAATTAGAGAGGGTGTGAAATTAGGACATGCCTGGCTACACTAAAAAGTGATTAGGTAGTTTCAAGTTGAATTGAATCTTTTTTGATTTTACTTTCAATGGAAAAATAGTGTGCTCACACAGAGAAAAGTAGGTGATTAACTCTTTGGCTTCTACTCAATGCCACATTTGACAGAGAGATATAATAGTAATCTGGAACATACAGAATTACAATATAAAGACCATTTTGTGCTAATGTTCATGTTACGGGATCTGTTTGAATTATGGAAGAAAGAACTTTCAAGTTTGTAGGTAATGTGGAATTATCTTTAAATCCTGATAGGAATGTAAGGGATCTGTAGTTCTTTAAGCCCTTTTTCCCAGAATTGGTATTTCCAGGGACTGTACTGCAAGCCTTTTCAGATCATCTAGAACGCTGTGCCTTAATCTGGGTAGCAAGTCTACTGCAGCATAGAAGTCTTGTTCTTTTAGCTTGTAGAGTCCGTTGAAAAAAGAACATTTTAAGTAGTAAGAATAACAATCTATAAGTAACAGTGATGCTGAAGAACTGCCAAGTTCCTTGATTGTTAATGGTTTTCAAGCAATGCAGTCTCTCATGGCGCGTAGAGACAATTGCAGCACAATGGGTGGCTTTGAATTGGCAAACCTCTGCTGAATGAAATAACCAGATTATTTTGATGCTTTCCCTGTAGATGGAAGATGGTCACTCCCTTTTCGATTACAGTGTTGGACTGAATGATATTGTTCAACTCTTGGTCAGACAAAGCCCAGCGGTGCTTCCTGCTGTTAGTAAGGAAAAGGATTCCGAACTCTCCGACACAGACTCTGGCTGTGGCTCAGGCCAAAGCGAATCTGACAAAAGCTCTCACAATGGAGAAGGTGCTATGGAACTGGAGGGACAGCCGAGCACAGCGGCGCAGGCTGACTGGGCTGACCCGGGATTTGGCCTCTACAAGGCGAGTCATTAACAAACTAAGATTACTTAAAACTGCGCTTAGGGGGGGAATTGTTTCTCTGTAGCTGAGAATTCTGAAAATTTCTGAAAACCTTTCGTGCCCCAATTGTATTTTTTTCTTCTTTTAAACTGTCCAACAGCAAACAAAAAAAAAATACCAACCGACCCACAAACCAATTAAACACAACATGTTGTAGGTCAAAATATTTTATTTTTCATTTTGTCCTTTTAACTCGAACTACAATGCATTAATTGAGTGTGTGTGTGTTTTTGTTTTTTTTTTTTTTTTTAAAAAAGCATTTAGCATGCCTGTTTTAATTTTTAAAAGATTTCCCAATATTTTTGCTTGGAGTCACTGCATTTCTCAAAGCTGAAACTTTTCTTGAATGAACAAAAGAAAATCTCAACCAGCTGTTGAGAATCATTTTACTTGTCTGTTTCAGTGGTTTTTATTATAGATTTGGTGATGTCTTTGCCAGACAACGAGCAAGACATTTCTGAAAGTCTGTTGTAGATGAACTAGTAGTGGTGGTTTGTACCAAATAAGAAACCTGTTTGTGCACATTGGTATAGAATGGATTTTTAGCATTGAGGGCTCAACCTGAGAAGACTGTAGGGGTGCACAATGGGATCAGGGAGGCAAAGGAAATCATCATTTTTAAGATAAGCTGTTAAATATCTTGATAATGGTGAAGTTCTTGAGACGGTTGAATCTGCAAGTAGACTTGGAAATTGATGCTTAATTTAAAAATCCACTTTGGTGAGCTGTATACTTTGTTTTGTGTAGATCAATGACTTGGTCGATGCTCGAGATATGAATATGGGAGCATGGTTTGAAGCCCAGGTTGTAAATGTAACCAGAAAAAAACCTACAAATGAATCCGCTCACAGTTGCACAGATCCTGGTCAGTCAACAGCCATTCCTGAAGAGGATGTAATATATCATGTGAAATATGAAGAGTGAGTTTTGTTATGTTCTTGGCTAATAGAGTCATTTGGATCATGATGTTGATAGGAAATTTTATTGTGGAGATCCATGAGGTAAAACAGAACTGGACTGACATGTTATTAAGCCTTGTTAACTCTAAGTTTGTCTTACAATTGAAATTCTGACTGGAATTCCAGGGGGCTGGAATAATGTTTTTAGACATATGAAATGCTGTTATTTAAGTTTTAAAAGGGATACAATATTAGCAAAGTTAGACTGTGCCCGATTCTGGCTGTGTCTGTGTGGGAGATTTTATTCTTGATGGTATTCCTGTATGTTGTGTGGCATCGGTTCTTGAATCGACCTGTCTGGATTAAATCTATCATTTATAAAAACTATGATGCTGAATCTGATTTTTCTTCTCTGTCCCTCTGTGCCTCCCTTCTACTTCAAGTTATCCAGAAAATGGAGTTGTAGAATTGAGTTCAAATGATGTACGGGCTCGTGCACGGACTATTTTGAAGTGGCACCAGCTAGAAGTAGGACAGGTGGTGATGGTCAACTATAATCCTGATGAACCAAAAGAGAGAGGTTTTTGGTACGATGCGGAGATTCTGCAAAAAAGGGAAACGAAAATGATCAAGGAGATAAATGCAAAGATCTTACTTGGGTAAGCAAACATAATGTGGAATAAATGGAATTCCCCAACTCTTCTTAGGCTTTCATGAGGTCTGAGTGACTGCTGAAAAAACTGATGCAACAAAAATGGTGTGACAGAAGTACTGGGGAGAGACGAGAAGCTGGACTGTCCTTTCTGGGTGATTGACTTCTATTGGAGGAATTGGACACTTGAAGGAATCACAGGGCATGCTGATCTGTGGATGCACATAACGCTGGGAGGATGGGAAGCCCCATGGTCTCTGAGGCAAAGCATTGTTTACTGTGTTAACGATCCATAATGGTTTTACAAAAACTTCAGTGTAATGCTTTGTGCTAGATATGATAATGTAGATTGAACCCTCACTCGATAGAGATGGTGGAAAAATTATTCCAGTTCTCTCCTGACTACACATAAGGCAATCTCAACTTCAGGGGAAAAAAAAAAAGCATGTGTATGTGTATATGTGTTTGTTTTTTTTTTTGTTAGTTTCAGACAAGTTTCACAGGATTGCCAGAATATTCTTCCTTTCTCCTTTCACCACAGTGATTTTGACTTTTTAACTACAAAATATGAGTTAGTCTGAAATGTATGTTGGGGGGAGAACAGTCACTAATGACAATTGGGATGCTACGAGTGTCTGTATTCCTATTGAGGCAAGAGTGTGTACACTTTAATTGCAAGAAAGTGATTAGATTCATGCCACTGTCCCAGATGATATGCTAGAACAGGTTTCTTATGATATATGACTAATACCAGACCAGTCTGCATTTCTGATGTACGTGCACGGCTGTGAATTCATGCTGTATGATACTTTCAAAGTCTGATCTTTTTGACTTTTATCAACTTCTCCTTATAGGGATGCTGGTGATTCCTTGAATGACTGCAGGATTACATTAGTGGATGAAATTTATAAAATTGAAGAACCAGGCAGTCCTTGTCCAATTAGTGCCAGTCCATTAAAACGTGAGTGTGTTGCACAGTTCTTGCATGCCTCAGTCTTACCTTGTGATATTCTGCTGATTGTCTTCGTGAGGATCAGAGGTCTAAGAGTTCCAAGACACCTGCAGTTGTGACTCCTTTGACTGTTTCCAGTGTATCTTGGCACTTTCTGGAGTCTGAAGCAGACTGTGGTTTTTTCTTTTTGCAAACAGGACAAAATGGACCTGTGTGTAAAGCTTGTAAGGACAACCCGAACAAGACCTGCAGAATTTGTGCTTGCCATATCTGTGGAGGTAAACAAGATCCAGATAAACAGCTAATGTGTGATGAGTGTGATATGGCTTTCCACATCTACTGCCTCAACCCTCCCCTTAGTAGTATACCAGATGATGAGGATTGGTAAGTTCTATGTGTGTGGTATCGCAATTACCATCTAATTAGGAGCAGAAAGTGAGGTCTAGGGCTTCAGGCTGCCCTTAGGTGGCAATATTGTACGAGGTGAAGAGATGTTTGTGTGTGTGTTGGGTTTTTTTGGTAGGACTTCATAGCTTTTCTTGAGCATCAGTGTAGGGAGAGTATGTTTTAAGCCAGTGGCTTTCAAACTTCGTTTCGCAGTTTTGGGATCTCTATTCAAAGAGAAGTGGAATTACCTAGAAACCAAATGCCAGCCACTGCCAGGTGGCTTAACTTGTGTAATGGGTTTTATGGGTTGCTTACAGGTAGTCCACAGGTCTCATCACCATATTCAGCTGGTGAAATATACTGTTTTATGTATGAAATACACACGGTAATAGATAGTGAAATATATCTAGCTATATACATATAGGTAGTGAAATAGACCGTTTTATTCCTTGTGTCCTGTTTCAGCATTTTATACAGTGATTTTTATGATACAGCTGATTTACTGGCACATCTGCAGTGCCTTAGAAAACTGTGCAAGGGCACAAGCCAATACAGGTCTAATTCCAGTACAGAGAGTTGTTTGTGTCCTGTCTAGTTTCACATGGGGGAATTGTAACATAATTCACTACGTTTTGAGAAAATTCTCCTTTAATTTAAGACTTTGATACTAGTTAATTTTCACTGACTGGTGACTTTAGGTATTGCCCTGAATGTCGAAATGATGCAAGTGAGGTGGTTTTAGCAGGAGAGAAATTGAAAGAAAGTAAGAAGAAACAAAAGATGGCATCTGCTAATTCATCCTCGCGGAGAGACTGGGGCAAGGTCAGTTCAAAAGCTGTTTTATTTTGAAGAATAGTGTATGTTTAGTTCTTTGTAATTCTTGGCTGATGGGTCTTTTTGAAACAGGGTATGGCGTGTGTTGGTCGCACAAGGGAATGTACCATTGTCCCCTCAAACCACTATGGACCAATTCCTGGGATCCCAGTTGGCACCATGTGGAAGTTCAGAGTTCAGGTATGAAACTGAGTCCTGGCCTGAGCCCCTGTAGGGAAAAATGGGCATGATCCAGCTCTTGGGAGAAACCTGAAACGGTTAATCCTGGAGTGTATGTCACTGGATATGTAAGTGCAGAAAGGAAAGAATTCTGGCTTTGTCTAGATCAAGTGTTCCATAACTAATGCTGTGTTGTCCAGGCATACAAGTGTGGGGTTTTTTTCTTTAGTGCTTTTTTTGGTGACTGAAAAACCCCAAACCAAATGTACCCGTTTCCATTAGTTTGTCCTGGAGAGGTGTAGTATCTTCCACTTGTTCTGGTGGTAAGGGTCTCTGTCGGGTACCTAGGTATACTGAACAGAAGGTTTTCTCACCCTGTTAGAAAGCTGGGAAAGAAAAAATTCTGAACTCTCCAGATCTTGTTTTCAAGTATTGCATGAAGGTTGCTACTGCACATCTTTCAAAGCCAATCCCCTTATACAAGCATTTAATTTTAATACCTGCATTATTCTAAAATTCGTGGAGCTTTGTAATAAGCAATCTCAGTGAGAAAGGTTTCTAAGAATTTATAAATTTTTAAATTTCTAAACTGACCTCACAAGAGAGATCCATGTGTTCAATTTACTGATATGTTAATAGTTTTTTTTTTTTAAAAAGCATTTTTCTTTTTCTACCTTGAGCTTTTTGGAGCATAGTGGTGAGAATGCAGTTTCACCCTGTAATGTATGCACAACAAGTACGAAATAGTACTATTAGTTAATTTAGTTCCCAGACCAATGGGTTGTAGCCTGTTGACAGCAGCAGCCTAGCAGACCTCTTATTTTTTTTTTCTTTTTCCAGGTGAGCGAATCCGGTGTTCACAGGCCCCACGTAGCAGGCATACATGGCAGAAGTAATGATGGTGCCTATTCCTTGGTTCTGGCAGGAGGCTATGAGGATGACATAGTAAGTGAATCTTGATTATTTACATCTGAGAATCAAACTAACCTTTTGTTGAAACAAAGAATGGGCTTTATTTTTTACATTCTATACCCATTTGACTACTTTCCCTGTCTTGACAGTACTTCTGTCCTTCAAGGGAAAACTATGCAAACTACAATCAAGTAATGTGTGCCAACCTGAGAAACAGGATTATCTAAATTTAATATCCATATGTCAGTTTTTAATCCAAGAGTCCTTTAGCTGGATTTCAGGGTCTCCATCGCATCCACAGTTTGAACAGAGTCTCACTGTATAGGCTGTCAGATCTTCCTGTACTGCAGGAGTGTTGGGAATAAAACTAAGGAGAGAAGTCCTACTTCTGAATATAGTGTTTAGTTCTGCTAGCCAAACGCAACCCTTAGGAGGCTGTACCAGCTTCATTCTTCTTGCAGATCACCTGTGCATTACTAGCCTGCACCCCCTTCCTCTGAATGCCGGGTAGAACAGATAGCTGCGAATCTCAGGAGCTGTTCTCAGTCTTAATTCTGACTGTAGGGTCAGGTAGCAGTGTGAGTACTAAGGCACGGGTTATGTTGTCTTCATCTGGAACATGCCCCTGTGCTCCCAAGCAGATCCTGTGTGAGTGGTGTGCTGGGCTCTTGGCAGAGGTGTCTGCACTGTTAAGGTGTGTGACAAGACAGCAGTTGTCACCTTGACTCTCCTTTCTTGGCAACATAAGGGAGGTCCATAGACTGAGTCTGGGAACTTAATCGGAAGAAGCATCTTTCCTTTTTTTGAGAAACCACTATTAAAGCTACTTGATTAAAAGACTCCTGCTTTTATTGAATTACTTTTGTGAATGTGTCGAAACCATCCATATATGTTTCAGGATCATGGAAATTCCTTCACATACACAGGGAGTGGAGGGCGTGATCTTTCTGGAAACAAACGTACAGCAGAACAGTCTTGTGATCAAAAACTCACCAATATGAACAGGTCAGCAACATTTGTGCTCCATTCCTAACCTCGGTTGCTGGAAATCTGTCACCCTGAAAAACTGTTTGTCCTGTTTGTATCAAAAGAAGCTGGCTAAGTGGAAAACATGTCCAAATTAGGTTTCGACTGTGTTGTAGGCTGCAGATCAGTTGCACGATGGAAATGCTTCTTACAGTGCACTGTAAATGAAACAGAATTGTAAATGGTATTAGTCTTATATCTAATATTGACTGAAACTTAAGGAACAGAGTAGTAAATTAGCGTAGAAGCTTTCATACTCTCTCCTGAAGACCATTGCAGCCATTGGTCACCTTGGGAGACCAGATAATTTGTAATTCTGAGCTGTTACTCTTACAAATAAATGTGGACTTCAGTGGAGGAGGCAGTCTATGCAATTACATTAGGGTAATGTAATGAATAATCAGCGTATTAAAAAGTGGTCTCCAGTCAGGAGGCTTAAGTACTATCTCTGAGTTCTTAGTGTTATACAAGATACTTGAAAGTCTCACTAAAGTCAAACAAAAGCCTGGCTACATCCTTTTTCCTCGGAAGAGATTCAGAAGGGGTTCCTGTATCTGCAGAGGGGCAGTAGCTTCCAGGATTTTTTGGCAGCCATTGCTGTGGTTCAGCACAATGCCTGTATGCTGCTACTATTTGTTTTTTACTCAACTGTATTAATGTGTTGCTCTGAGTAAAATAGTAGTTAAATTATTACTTCTTAGTAGCTGGTTTACCATGGAAGCTTTGCTTTGCTTTATCCTCCTGATTCTGAAGAGTTCTGGCCTGGTAAAACACTAAGTTGACTGGACTTTCTCTTACAGAGCTCTGGCTCTGAACTGCAGTGCCCCCATCAACGACAAAAATGGAGCTGAAGCCAAGGACTGGAGAGCTGGGAAGCCGGTCCGAGTGGTGAGGAACGTAAAAGGAGGCAAACATAGCAAATATGCTCCTGTAGAGGGGAACAGATATGATGGAATATATAAGGTGGGAAGGATTTGAATTTGTCTGCTGAATTGGGGAAAGATAATTTGGTTATGGTCAAGCGTTTTTTGTGGTGTATGATGGAGCTGCATCTGACTTTTTTAGGTTGTGAAATACTGGCCTGAGACCGGGAAATCTGGATTTTTAGTGTGGCGTTACTTACTTAGGAGGGATGATGAAGAACCTGCTCCTTGGACCAAAGAAGGGAAGGACAGGATGAAAAAGCTTGGCCTAACAATGCAGGTACATTTTTGGAACATCATCATGGTTCCCCCTGGACAATGAACTTGATGGAGAGCAGGAATTTGTCTATTACACATTCTTACTGAGGAAGATCCTTGTGTAAGAATCAAGACAGCCCCCCTTAGACTGAGCAGGACGCAAGTGCTTTCAGTCTTGGGGATTGTTTTCTTTTTACATTGGGAGGCTAAACGGACAAAACTTACCCTCCTGTATAGTATTTCTGTAGTCTGAATGATTACTTTGCAAGAGCAGAGATCTATTCCTTAAAATAAAGAACCCCTGGAGCAGTTCTCCAGAGGTCGTTCTTCCAACCTGTAATAGTCTGTAAGTCTGTGAACTGGTGCATTTGATGCTTTTTGTTTTTGTTTTCCTGTAGTATCCTGAAGGGTATTTGGAAGCTGTTGCAAACAAAGATAAGGAAAAAGAAAATAATAGAGATGAGTTTGATACCCCGGGGAAAAGAAAGAGGAAAAGGAAATCAGCAGGTTTGTGGAGTAGGCAAGTGGATATAGAAAGCCTTGTAGGTTTCTGTGCATTTTACCTAGTTACTCTTTTCTGGTTGTTTTTAGTTTTTTCCTTGAAAAAGTTGTGTTTTCTTTCAGGTGGGGAGGAAAAACTTATTACCTCTCCTACAGAGACTCCAAAGAAGACTAAAGTTGAGCCATACAAGCTGACATCTCAGCAAAAATCTCTTATAAAAAGTGATGAAGCCAATGAAAAACTGTGGAATGAAGTACTAGAAGCTCTGAAAGATGGACCGGTATATCATGCTTTTTTTGCCCAGTAATAAAGTGACAACTAACTATTGTACTATCCCTAGACACAAACCTCTTGGCTGCATTAAAGAAACAGCCTCAGATCAATAGTGGTTTCTTTCTAGTGTAGACATTGACAGCTTAATTTTAAAGTACTGTATTTGAGGTCAGTAAGAAGACAGTTACCAGAACTCATTTAATGTGACTATTTTTTTTATGTCGTTGCTAATCTTTGTAGAAAAACTTCCTATGACTAAAGTAATCCCGTGTATTTAATGTGGGTGGTTTGGTGTCTTTTTTTTTGTCTGTATCTTTCTGAGGGTGGTAGCAACGAGTTGATTCAAATGCTTTCTTTACAGAAATTTCTAAACAAAGTTGAAGAGGCCTTCTTGTGTATTTGCTGTCAGGAGGTGGTGTTTCGGCCAGTCACAACTGTATGCCAACACAATGTGTGCAAGGTGAGTAGTTGATGTAACTTCTGTTGAGCCAAGCCTTGAGCTGACTTGTTTACCAGTGAGAGAGAGGTGAGGGGTGCCTGGGGGGGCTCAGTTGGTTTGGGTTTTTTGCCTGTAGTTAGTCTTGAGGCAAGCTCATATTTTAAAACTTCATGATTTGATGAAAGTTCTTTGGCATAGAAAAGTCTGTGCTTTCAAAAAGTTCCACTATTGTATTGCTATTTATCTTTTAAAAGATGCGGAGAGCTTCCCTGTGTGCTCAGCAACACTGCCAGGTGACACTGAGGCGTTCAGCCGTGTTACAGAGCGTATGGAGTTTTGCTTTGTTTTTTGATGAATGATGTGAAGTGTTTTTGCAGAAGCTCCAACAGTCTTTAATAGCTGCAGGGGAATTCTTGATCTTTAGAACTTTAATTGAATGAAATATCTTTACCATATACCTAACTACTGTGTCTGACTAACGTGCTCTGTTGAGGTGCACATGCTTTTGTGTGTAATGAAGGAAGCTTTCTCTCCAACTGTCAGCCTTGCATTGTTCTCGGCCCTTCTCAGCTCTTATCAACGCCCAGGTGAACTAGGATATCAAATGACTAGTTTTCTCCAGTGGGGGCTTTGTAGAATAAGCTAAACTGCACATCTCTCTCTCTCTTATCCAATTATTTTTTTTGTTCTTCACCAGGATTGTTTGGATAGATCCTTCAAAGCAGATGTGTACAGTTGTCCAGCCTGCCGCTACGATCTTGGCAAAAATTACACCATGCAAGTGAATGAAACACTGCAGACCATTCTAACTCAGCTCTTCCCTGGATATGGCAATGGACGGTGATTCTGTAAAGCACTTCTAATTTTCTTTTGTTCAGACTTATTAATGGGTTTTCAATGGGCTTAATTTAAAAAAAAACAAAGTAGTCTGTGTTTTCCCAGACCCCTAAAAAAGTTTAAAGTCTTCCCTGTTTTTAAAAAAACTATAAACTTCAAGGAATATCCTTTTATATGTTCGTGGGTTTTGTTTTTGTTCTAAATGTTGAATTTGAATTTCCCCCCCCCCTCCCTCTGCCATTCATCAGCACAGAATTATTTTTTTTAATGGACTTACAAAGTGCTTCCGGTAAGGCTGCTAATGATTATGAAAGTTCTCAGAGTTCCTCCTGTGCCCCTTCTTTTTTATTTTATTTTATTTTTTTATTCCAAAAAATGGCTTGGTTGCTAGAACAATCTTCAATATTTGGGGATCTGGCCATAAACGTAGATTTGTGCATCACCTTGGCAGCATTTGGATGCTTGATTTGTATGAGATGGTTCCTGGCTTATGATCTTTTTACCACAAGTGGGTATTTTCTATTTTTTTAAAATAACTGTTTTTTCTACATTTGACAAACCTATCAAAAGCTATTTCCTGCTAATTTTGTATATCGAAAAAAAAATACAGCTGCTTGCATATAGCCGAGTAGTCAGAGCAATATGAAGTACTACCTCAGTTGGACTCCTTTCTTATTAGGGAACTATTTGTTCAGCCAGGTGCTGCCTTCTATCCAGAAATGCCATTGTGGAATATAGTAAAGCCATTCTTAAGTGCCTTTTGTCCTTTTCTGAAAGACTGGGCTCTGAATCACCATATATATATTTTTCATAAGCACTGAATCATTTAAACTTGCCAACCGGATTTTATTCTTTGGGTAAAATGTAACACTGTAGCTGTATATGATTAGCACAGACTTGCAAACTTTCAGGTTTCCTCCTAATGCTAGGTATATTATGGTAACATGAATCTTTGTTTGCTGCATTTCTACCTGGAAATGGAGAATAACCAATTCTGACTTTTTTATGAAACATTTTGTTTATTGTACATGACACCGAGAAGGCTTACTTTTGTGAATGGGTTCTTTTTCTAACATTACCAAAGTTTGCAGTTTAATACCTCAACAAGACAGGGATGTTTTTAATCACATTTTACTGCAGACAGACTGGAACAAATGTGCCTATTTTTGGTTTTTGTAACTCTTACCCTTTTAAAAATTATAATGTTAATACATTAGGGGAAAGAATAAAAAAACAAAAAAAAAAACAAAAAAAAAGTTTTATAGGTGTGTTGCTGGATTTGTCATTTTTTTTTGTACAATGTGCAAGTTGAAGTTCTCGAAATAAATATCTTTTCAGATGAAAGTGTTGATTTTTTTTTTTTTTTTTTTTTTTTTTTCCTTTATTTTTATCTAAAGCAGGCTTCCAGACCTGATTGCTTGTGCAGGAATTTGTATTTGTGTTCCATTATGCTAAGCCTCTTATTTTCTAAAGCCTATTATTTTCATTATGATTTTTCACTACGAAGAAATTGGGAAAATACTAATTTGATATTCTTGTCTTCAAAATATTTGCTTTTAGGCACTGGTGAAAGTCATATGTTATGTTCAGCTGAAAAAACCTGAAGGATTCCCAAACTATCTCTTTTGGGGGGCATAACTTATGTTAGATTTCCACAGTATGAAAAGCCAAATATCAACTGGCAATTGGAATTGTCTGCACATTTAATGAATAAAACCAAACCTGTTAGAAGTGCCATGTTGTGAATCATATTGGAGGTGTTTATAGCAAGTAGCATGAACATCTCCATCAACTCATCAAACCAGAGAAATAAACCAGAGGTTTTCATAAACAAATACAGATGAAGTAGATGAAGAAAACATGCAGGCATTTAAGATATTGAAAACAAAAGCTGTGAATTAAGCAGCATTTGCAGTCTGCCCTCTTTAAAATAAATTTATTTTAAAGTTAGTGTTAACATTAAGCACTTTCAATGTCAGGTATTTAAAGTTCATTGAAAATGTCCTTCCACTTTTTATTCAGTATTGTGATGAGAAGAAGAACATGGGGTGAGTGCGTGAATCTGAGGAAGTGTGTGTGTATTTAAATTGAAAGAACTTATTCCAATGACTTCCTTATATTGTTTTTGTTATTATTTGGAATTTGGAAAACAAACCTTGTTTTCCTACGTAGGTTTCAGTGTACTGTTCTGAGTTTTGGTGTTTATTTAGGATGAATGAGAATTTCTGCAAATGAGACACTTTATAATTTGGAGTTTGCAGATCTACTCGAGTAAAGCTCTACAAGGAAAATTACTCTGCTATAAAGTGAGCTGGTGTGTGCCTTTGGATATGAAGGGAATGTGTGTTTTTAATGGTAGAGTTTATTAGTAGGATGATGTTTAATTTCCTGTACATCTATGTTGTGAAATATCCAGTATGTGATTTAGTAGAATGAGTGTTTTGTGGATATTGAGATGTAAGATTAACAGTGTTGCAAAAAGAAAGCAACACAAGGATCTTTCTTCTGTTTTGGGAATTCCCATCTTGCTTCCCATCAAGTTTACAGAATCTAGGCTCTGGACAGTTTAACTGAGCACAAATTAAAAAATACCCCAGCTTCATCCTGGCAGGCTTCCATGGTCCTGTAATTGCAGCCCGTTTGAAAGAGCATGGGTTGTGTGGTGATGGTGACTGCGAGGAGACGGGTCCTCCCAGCGACCTGGGGCATCTCCACAGTCTCGGCAGGGGAAGGGGGGAAACTGCAGCCACCGTCCTCTGTCCGAAATTGGGCTGCCCTCACCTCTGGTACTGCTGCATCTTCTGCGGGGGAAATTGGAATGGAGTGTAGGTGAATCCCAGTGCTTTTAAAGAATGAACTGGTGGGGAGAGGCAGATTCAGTGCACGGGTAGTAGCTGATGTGTTGTGTTTTTTGTTTTTGTTTTTTTTTTTTTAAAAAAAACTCCAGCTACTGCAGCCTACAAGAAAGCCTAAACTATTGTGAGAGCTTGAGATGAGGTGTTCAGGTCTAACACGCTCGCCTTTTTATGTTCATTTTACTCCTCAGGTGCTGTGGTTCTCCAGGTCCCTCGAGTAAGAGAGACTGGACTGGTCGTGGTGGCTGAGCTTGTCGCAAAAAACAGAAGTTTGCTAAATGCACTGATGGTGCTGTTACTGCCTTTCTGTGAAATGCAGGCTTGCCATCTTCACCACCTTGCTGCTACCCTTGCTCCAGGCTTCCCTCAGGGGCACAGTTACTGCAACAACCCCGAGGCCCTCAGCCATGGGGGAAAGGCGCAGCCTTGGGCCTGTTTGGCTCTACCTCGGGGTCAATCCCCCCCTCTCTGGGGGGCTCCGGACCGGGGACAGGTTAAGGACGGGTGCCGGGGCTCTGCCCGGACCCCGGCCGCCATGAGGCCGCCTCAGGCGGCGCGCGGAGGGGGGGGGGCCGTCCTTCCCCGCCCCATTGGCGCAGGGCGGCCGCAGCGCCCCCCCCGCCCCCCCCCCCGCGCGCTGCTGTGCGGCTCCTCACGTACTCACCGCCCCGCGCCCCCGCCGGAGCCCAGAGCCGTGCGGCCCTGACGGGCACCCCGCGCGACCTATCCACGCCCGCCTTGCCTCTCTCTTGCCCAATCGCAGCTGGGGGCGAGGCGCTGTTTCCCAAAGGGCGCATCCTATTGGCGGAAAGAGACCGAGCGACGTGAGAGCGACCGGCTGCTCCGCCTGCGGGTGGGCGGGGCGTTACCCTGCGCAACCCGCCAATCAACGGCTGCCCTCGGCTTGTTGTTCGGTGAACGGCTCCGCCATGGGTCGTAACCGCCGCCTCTCACCGGCGGCGCGCCCAATCGCTACGAAGGCGGTGCCGGCCGCAGCCAACGAGCGGGGCGAGGAGGCGGGCGGCAGGTGCTGGCCGCGGGGTGCTGCGCTCTCCTCGCCGCCCCCCTTCCGCTCTGCCCCCCGCGCCGGGCCGCTCGGCGCTGCGCTGACGGGCAGCCCGGGGCCGCCGCCGCCGCCGCCGAGGGGGACCGCCCGCGGGCTCAGGTACGGGGGCGGCCGGCACCTCGCCTCTCCCTCCCTCCTTCCCTCCTTCCCCGCGGGGGGGGCCCTGCCGCTGCCGGCGGCTCCACCCCCGGAGCCCCCCGCAGCTCGGCGCTGCCCAGCCCTCAGGGCTCCAGGCACCGTCCCGCCGGCCTTCCCCGGCCTCAGCCCCTTCTCCACAGCCGCTCCTCAGCGACGGGCCCCGGCTTTGCCTTTTCGCTTCCGGACGGCGGCCCGCCGCGCCTCTCCTCCGCCGGCCGGCCCTCCTCCTCCTCCTCCTCCTCTCCACGGCCCGGCCCTCGGCCGCCGCCGGGCCCCGGCAGCGAGGGGGGGGGGGAACCGGCCTGTGCGGGCAGGGCCCGGCCCGGCCCGCTCCCCCCGGCCCAACGCCCGCTTTGTCTGGGAGCGGGCGCGGTGGGAGCTCCCCCCCGCCGCCCCCGTTCCTACACCCCGCCGTGTGTGTCCCCTCCCCCGCTGCCTCAGATGTCCGCGGAAGGCTCCGCGTCTGAGCGCGGTGTTTCAACGCAGAAATTTATTTTTTTTTTTTTTTTTTTTTCCCGGGACGGGGGTGGGGGGGGTGGGGGAGGAGGCCCCGAGTGGTCTCTAACCGCCCCCCGGCGCCGGGGGGTACCGGCCGCGGGCGCCGGCTGGGCCCGGGGCGGCGGCGGTTGCGTTGCGGGGCGGTTGTTCGCCGCGGTGGGGGATTGATTGGGGCGGTGGAGAATAAAGCGGCTGCTCGGCGGTTGGCGGCGGGGGCTGCGCTGGGCGAGGGGAGCTGGCGGCGGCTCCGGGATGCTGTGGTTGAGCTCCCGGCGGAGAGCTGCAGGCCCGGGGCTCGCAGAGCCTGCTGGCAAGAATATGACACCGGCATTATTTTCCTCCCCCCCACCCCTCCTCTTCAGAGACTGTCAAAGTCTAGGGCCAAACCTAAGCGGTTGGTGTTTTTTTTTTTTTTTTTTTTTTTTTTTGGTAGTTGTAATAAGCCTGACGTGAATAGAAACACCCGTGGTTATACGCAGAGATCTTTCCTCGCCCCTGGCCAGTCAGCCTCTCGAGCAGAAACGTTGCAGGGTGAAAAAGTGAGATGACCGGCTCTGAAACAGTTGTGGTCTGCAGAAATTATCTGTCCGGTCACACTGTGGTGACTTGCCCTGGCTTTTAGGCTTCTAGCTGCTCAGTTTGCCCTTTTATAAGGGAATAAATAGAAGGCTCTTTTGGGATGTAGTATGTAGTGAAAGGGGAAACTATTCAGGAAACCTTTCACCTAGAGGTGGTACTTGGCTTTCCTTTAAAGCTGGCTTTGGTTCTTGTTCGTGAAGACGGAGTGTATAGCTGCGTAGGACCTAGGTATATTGCAGAAAGTCTATTTTGGACTCCATTGTTTTAAAGGGTTAAAGTCAGGCATTAGATTTAGTTTTATACACGTTCTTTAACTTTTATACTTTTTAATAAAGCTGTTCTAGAGAATGGGTGCTGTTCAGGGGCACAGACTGTTCTTGTGTTGCTGTTAAGGCCTAGAACATTGGAGTTCCACTCTCATTTAGTTGTCTTTGTGCTGGGGCAGTGTAAATAGATTATCATGCTGTATCAATCTTGACCCTTCTAAAGTTAAGTTTCCTTTAACCAAGAAGGGCTCAATTTTATGGAACTCTGTTCATTAGAAACCTAATCATGTTTGCTTTGTTTTGTTTTTTTTTTCCTTTTTCACACACAATAAGTTACTTCTTTCTTATGAACTTTTATTTTTTTTCTGTTCTGTTTCCTTTTCCTGTTTTGGTAAAGTTCACATAATCACTAGAAATCTTAAGACTAGAATTTAAAATTTACAGTTACTCCGACAGTTACTTTATGTAATTGCTGACATGTACGTGGGGGGTAATTGCTTTTTGACAGTAAGTTCCTAATTCTTAGGTTCCCCTGTAATAAATTAAAGAAGTTGAGGCAGGTAGACTGACTCCTCCAGCGCCAAAAGGAGTCGATGGCTGTTTCGTTCTCATTAGTGGTAGGAGTTACTCCTATGCAAAGTGTATGTAGGTGGATATACTTGATTCCTTGTTCCAGAGCCAAATGTTCACGTATAAGACACTCACTGAAATGGCTTTAGACAGGAAAATGCTGTTCCAACACTCAGGAATGTATTATTCCTTCTTCTTTTTTTTTTACTTATTGAAAAAAATAATTCTCTTAACCAGTCCAGTGGGACCAGCATATAAATGGTCTTACATATAAGAAGTTTTCTCAGTAAGTTAAAACACATGGACGAAAGAACAAAGTACACAGGTCTGACATTCAAAGTTTGACTTTAGGGTGAACAGGGTCCTTTATAAGTAAGACCTTACATACATAAGAGGTTTCATCACCTTTCTGATGGGAAATGATTAAAAAATGCATTTTCAGGGAGGATCCCACCTGTCTTCTCTAGGTAATGCTGGTGGTTGTTCTGAGGCAAATACAGCACGTGGAACTACTTACTGGCCCATTAAACTGAGCTGTTGAAGCAAAATGGAGTGAAAACTATTTCTGGAGATATTGTCAGCTCCTGTCACTAACAGATAAGATAGAGTGATTGTTTTATACATCTGCAGGCACTGGGCATTTTAAATTATCAAAAACATAGGCAACTTCTGAAAACTTGGAGCTATTTCCATACAAGAGGTCTCAAGAAATTTTATGAGTTGGGAAAACCAGTTTGTCCAGACATACTGGATAAGCGTGTTAGCTATATGGGGGGTTTTTGCACATTTATCAAGAGTTATGTTATTCTTATTTTCTGTGAGGATGTCCAGCTGCAATACAGTCAACAATGTGTTGGCATTCAGGTGGCTGTAATTAGCCTTCAAAGTTTGCATCACATTTCAGTGAATAGGGGAGTTCACATGTAAGTACAAATAATAGCACTGTCTTGCTGCAGCCTGAGACAACCATGCATCAGTTAACATGTTATGAAAATCTCTTTGCAGTTGTAAGAATTAGAAACTTTATTTCCTTTTAATTAATTCTAGGCAATATAGAAGAACTGTGGACTGGTGAATGCTTCAGCCTTTCTGACTCACTTTTTAATGTTTTACTGTGTGCCATTGAAAAGGATTTGCAACGCCTGTTACTGTCTGTCCGTTCGTTGTCTGCTTGTGCTATACGCAGCATTACTTGCAATATAGCATCTGTTAATATCAAAGATGGATGACAGCTAAATATGTCCCTGCAAGTGGGGGATTTGCTTAATATATTTGGATGCCATCAGGATTCTCCGTGGCTGTGCAAGGCAGTGTTTGAAGTAATTAGTTGTCGTCTATTTAAGAATCGAAAGATGGTTTGTCTGTTTGATGTGCTAGCAAACTGAAAACCTTAAGTAGTGCTGAAATTGGCATAAATCTCATCATTTTACATAGGTTTAGTGATATTAATGTCATGCTATTGTTCTCAGTATAAAATCATTGTGGGATGAGAGGTGGTTTTCCATTTTCAGTAAACTGATCTTGCTTAGTAAGATTTTTTTTTTTTTTTTTTTTAAATCTTTGTTTTGGACCAAATATGTTCTGTCTTGTCACAACTTATGGATTTAGTCACTTATTACCATGGCTTAATTAAGGTACTTACTTTCATGTATATTTTCATGGAGTAAATTATTCTCTCTTATAAATTAAGCAGTTCCTTAATTATGTTCTTACTGGATGACTGCTGACACAGGAGAACACATTTGTATTCTGTTGTAATATGTTTGTGTAGTGTAAGATCCTTACTTAGTCTGTGTGTGCCTCAGTCATGGCAAAAATGATCTGCAACTTAATTATTTTTTTAATTTTGCTGTACCAGAAGGCTCATGAAAAAAGCCACGATTCCCAGTTTCTTGGAAAATATAGCATTGTTCTTTCATTTTCTAAACCTATATGATAAAAATACTCTATTTGAATATGGACTAAGAAGACAATGTTGGAAGTTGGTGGTGTGTTAAGATGATTTCCTGAGGTGTTCTGATAGTCCTTTACAATTTCCGGTATTACTTCAGAGCAGTGGGGAGGACTTTGGTGAGCGTCTGTGGGTTGGTGTGGTTTTGTTGTTTGTGGGGGTTTTTCTGTTTTGTTTGTTTGTTTGTTTTTGGTTGTTGTTGTTTTGTTTTTTTTTTTTGTAGATAAGTTTGTATGAAGTTTGCCATATTTGTTCTCAGTTCTGTGCTGGCAAAACAAGCGGTGCAGCTTTGGTTGTGATGTATGTGTTAAGGTTTGGAACTGTAGCTTCCTGAGGGAAGAACTGGATAAAATTGAGCTGGGAGAGATTAAAATTGTCTAATGTTACCTTGAAGCTAATGTGAAACTAGCTTGGTTTTCCCCAAGGTTTTGCTTTAATTTAGGTTTTAAATTGTCACTCCTTTCAGTTGCAGTTTTGGTTAAGAAGTGTGAAATGGGTATGAAATGAGATGCCTAACAGAAGACTGTGGGGTTCCCCCTGCTTCTCTCCGTGACCACGATGATTTAAAGTTATTTACAGGTGCAGCTGAGGATAGATGTTCCTGCTGAAGTGCACTTCTGGAGCTGTTATGCTTCTTGGCCCTGTCCTTCCGCCTCCTGGCTTTGCCTCTTGCTCAGTCTCTTCCCCAGTAGATGATTTTCTGGCAGTGCAGCTGCTGGTAAGCCTGGAATCTGGGTCAGTGTGTCACACCCACTCTAGGCAGGACCTAAAGCACCTTGTGCAAAAAATGCAACCAAGATTCCAATTTTTACATTGGCAAAATAGTCAAAAGCACTTTCAACAGTCAAATTTGCTGAAATTCTGTCTTAAAAAAATCTGAAGCAACCTAGAGAAGAAGTTGAGCAAGTCATGGGGAACATCTCTGCAGGCTTATAGTTCTGGCAGGTTTGCTGAAGCAAGACTGTCGGGAATTAGTCCTCATTAAGATATTAATCAGGTATAGGAATTACCTTTTTGTACAAAGCGATGCAGTAATCAAGTTTTCTGAAATACATACAAGTTTTGATAAGAATAACAGACTGTGGGTTACTTGACAA